GAGATGTTTTTTGCACATTTCTAATTAATTGTTTTGCAAGTGCGGGTGTATTTCTTTTAGAACCTAAATGTGAAGGGAGCTATACTGCGAGATAATACTTCTGAGGGAAGAGGGCGGTCCGTTATCCAATCAGAGGCTGTCGAATTGTTATGCATGTCACTATAGATTTCGATGTTTACGAAGAAAAAATATTAAATCTACATTCGTGGAAGCAACTGAAAATTGAAGAGCGTCCGAGCACCGATTACTTGTTTGGTTAACCCAGCAACGAGCTATAATTTACACACATAAGAGTGGCTAAAGCGCCTCCATGCTTTGAAGCAAATTGAATCCATATTTTTTTCTGCACTGAACAGGCCCCTCTGGGAAACCAGTGGTTATGTCTAGCATAATGTTCGGCGCTACGGACCGGTTATATCGCCCACTCGTGATATTTTGACTTTTAAAAAACATGACGGCACTAGTTCGACGAGACTCCACCAAAGCGCTTGTACTATAGGGGCAGGCAACTCTATGAAGTTCGGTCAAGCGTCGTGGAGTTCTCTCTCTCTCCTCTCTCTCTCTCTCCTCTCTCTCTCTCTCTCTCTCTCTCTCTCTCTCTCTCTCTTCTATATATATATATAGTATAGTATATAAATATATATATAATTATATATTATATAATGTTCTTAACCCGCCTATTGCCAACTGCCAACTTACCACCTTCAAACACAGCACGGCATCGGTGCAGTAAGCGTGTTAATCAAAGATTTGCTCGTGAAGCGAGTTAAAATTCTCAGGAAGCAGGATCTTTCGGGTACCTGGAGAAAGCGTCTGAACATCGACCACAAAAAAAATTGCAAAGATTGTGAACAAACGAGCGTATAATTTACCCATAAAATTTTAGTGGGACAATTACGCGACAAAAAAAATCACACTTTTACAGAGAATAAATAGGACACAAATAAAAACCTTACAATTCAAAAATTCGAACTTCCCTCAAAATTACAAAAAAGAACTGTTCAACAATTAAACTACCTTTCAAGTAAAATAGTACAAGGGTATGTCTCTCATTTTTTTAACTGCCTCAATAATTGGGGATTTCCCTTGCTCCACTATTACGCATAACAAAATGTTTCCCATTTTAAGCTATTTTAGTGAACTGTCGCATTGCTGCGATCTTTTTTTTTCTAACGAAACTGCTGTGGTACAAATTCACGTGTCTCACCGACGCTGCGATGCTCGCTGCCAGATGACCTCGCCGATTCAAGGTTGTGGGCGCTCCAACGTTTCGCCGAAATCTCCACTTGCTGCGTCGACCGTTCGAAGTCCCAAACCCAGATCCTTCGCACCTACACGCCCTGCCCTCCATCCAAGACCATACCTTTTGCACGTACGCTTGAGCCTTCTTGCAGATGCCTTATTCTTCTATCTTCACACGCCTCGTTGTATAAATTAATTCGCGCTTCCAGTTTATCGAATTTGCTGCGCCCCTTTCGTTTGCGTGCGCGGCCTAACTACTACACTTTTGGCTTGTGCAGTAATAAGGAGCAATATGACCGTACTGGAATAATTCAGAGTTCTTCGGCGTGAATCTAGGCAAAATTAGTCTTACTGCCGATTCCAAAATTTACACCACTTTCTATTACTTCGGTAGCATAATTTCTACTCGTTCCACGTATTTAAATAAATTCCTACTCTATCTCGAGAAGACCTTGCTGACCTGACGATGCGATCGTTGTCGTTGCAGGAATATCAGAGATGCGTTCCCCGTCGTTGCTGGAATATCAGAAATGCGTTCCCCGTCGTTGCTGAAATATCAGAGAGCTCTCCCGAAGAATGTTACCGTATTTATGGCCCGACGCCTGGGGAAAATTCAGGAGTGGAGTTGCTTCCCCTCTTTCAACCCTCCACGAGAAAAACGTTACTCGCTAGTTCGAGCGCTCTAGTACGGTCAAAGGATAACAGGTTGCGCGTTTAAGAGCCTCTGCTCGGCCTCGTATGCTATCCTCTCTGCTTGTGGGTGTTCACAAGTACTAGACGGTGGAGTTATGGGGTGGCACAATCCCATGACGTCACTATATATATATATATATATATATATGATATATATATATAAATATATATATATATATTAATATATATATATATAGAGAGAGAGAGAGAGAGAGAGAGAGAGAGAGAGAGAGAGAGAGAGAGAGATACATACGTACATACATAGAGATAGAAATATAGAGTTTAGATACTTATCTCTTATAAATCTTTCAAAATACTATGTATCGTACTTCTAAAAACGCATCTCGCTGTACTTACTTTTTATCTGCTTTGCGCGTGTTATGCAAAAACTATTTGTTATTCCTTGGCAGGATTAGTGTAAGGGACTGCGATAAATTTGTGAAACATTACTTCATGAAATAAACCAGTGCCATTATTACAATTTTACAATTACTACTATACAAATATAATAAGTTGGAGGCGTATTCCTCAGATGATCTGACGCAAGAACGATCACGTGTCTGCAGCCCGAGTAAGTGGCAACATCGCTCTCCCCCACTCCCAGCAGTCAAGTCGACAGAAGTATTACTGGCAGTATAAGATGAAAACGGACTACTTATTCCCATGTTTCAGTTTCACGATACCCTTAGGAAAAATCAGGGTGGAATTTCACATGCGAAAATACTCGCACGGCTGCGCTAGTACGTTTCTAATTTTTATAAAATATTAAACTATTATTCAAAAAAGTAATAAATGACACAAATAACATGCATATGCTGTTTTGATCGTTATCTAATTTATTTTTACGTTTTGTAAAGGGGGGTGACGCAAAAGTTACGTAATTATGAAAGGCTAAATATTCCGAAAATGCTTGTAGGAAAATTCGAAAATAGATCGCAGCACTATCACAGGGGAATTTACTTTACCGTTAACGTCTGAACTAATGGCCCAATTTTCGATCTATAAACGCCATTGGACGCCTTTTTAAAATAGAATTTACGCTACAAACCCCTTTTCAAAAAAAAATAAATAAATAAATAAAAAAAATAAAAAGCAACAACTTGGATTTAAAAGTGGTGCTCGAACTTTCTAGAACAATTTAAAAAATGCGGGATGGCGTGAAGCTACCTGATCCAAGGCCGTGTCAATCATGCAAATCGGATGAATAGAAGCGTCGTAAAGGGAAAATTCGGAAAACACTCCGCCCTCCTCCCCTTCGACGCCATTGCGTCTTCGGCCCGTTGTACGGCGACTCGGCCAGTCCCAGCCGAGGAGGCCGAGCTTGCGGGACAGGCAAATCAAGCAGTCTATTTATGCTTTGTACGCACCTATAACCGTGGCGCATAAACTCTCTACTCTCTCAACTTAATAGTGGTATAGCATAATAATTTATACGAAATACCTATTCACGTTATATTATTGCTAAACCAATTTTAATAAGACATTTTAAACTTACTCTTTATTAATAAAAGAAGATAAAATAAATTATCTTCGTTGTCGCCATTTTAAAAGCTGCTCCACACATAAGGCATCAACCACTCGCCGAATCTCGAGTAGTGTGGACTGGTTCCTTGCGATTCGCTGAGCGCCGATCATTAGGCATTCGCCCTTCCCACTACGTGTCGGTCTTTAGGTCACATCAAACATTCGCCGAACACATCAACTGTTTGCGATTCGACGAACTTCTGCTCGCTGTAGAGCTGTCCTTTACAGAGACTGGCCACAACTGGTGCCATTATCCATGAAATTTTTTAATGAAACTGGCATGGTTTATTTGTGATTTTTTTAAAATCAAATATTAATCTTAAGAATAATTTTGAGACTTTATTTTCAAAAATGATACAAACTTCAAATCTATGAAAGCATTGAAGCTAATATTATTTAGAAGTATGTAAAAATTCTTACTCATTTGCATTTTGTGCTATTTCATAACTCTAAACATGTGATTGCTGACAATTTTGTTGCATTCATTGAATTAGAAATGCAAATAATTTAATTTTCTGGGGTAAAAGTACCATCCTTACACATTGATTGTTGAGGCAAATGAGTAGGCAAGATTATTGTAGTTTTCACATTTTACTAAAATGAATATTAATTCTAAACATTCTAGTAAGTTTTACTCAAAATGTTTAGCTGTTATATTGAAGATTTTATTTTACATGAAATTTGTAATATTAATTTCTAACTTCAATCTCTCAAAACTCCCACTATTTGCTGAACTCATAAAATAAACTAATTGTAAAGAATTTGGTGAGATTCAAGCATTGCTATAGATTTCAAGAAGTATATTATTATATTGACTTGGCTGTCACCCGGACAGCCAAGTAAATACAGACTCCGGCCGCGGAAGCCTACGCTCTCATATTATTATATCTTCTCTGAGGTGTGAGCACATTGTTCATGTGAATATGAATAATAAATTTTGATGATTTGGTTGAATAATGTCAGTAATATCATGTGCTGATGTTCTTAGCACAAGTTTAAATCGTGAATATTTTCACTTTGAATATCCTGTGTGTAAAAATTTATGGAAGTTATATTCATTGACAGTAAAAATTCCATGAGTATTTAAGGATTCCGTTCTTTTATGTTTATTTGATATTAAAAATAATATTGTTTTGGTACTATTTTTTTTAATGAAAATATATTTTTTTCTTTCAAATACATAACAGACTTATTAATTAAAGAAAAATTAGATCTTTGACAATATCCTTGATTGATTATTAATCATTGTATTATTTTCCTTGCTTCTAAAGTTTTGAAATTTAACATCACCATTCAGTTTTTGTGTCATAAATTTTCCTAATTATTTTGTATAATGACGATTAAAATTACTATTTTTAATTTAATGATCAACTTTCCACTGATAAATGTTTGAAAGTAGGTATTAAAATAGATATTACTGGTTCCATATGATTATTTAAAAACATTTTGTTGTGCAAGTTAAATATATTATAAAATTAAATATGTTGTAAAACATTATGTTAAAGATAATCTGAAAAAATTACTTCATTTATTTGTTTCAGGTTGCTGAGTCCAACTCTGCCAGGTTCTGATGAGACTGTAAAGGTGCCTACAAGCACTATATTACCCAGTGAAAATGTTTCCACAGCACAGCCGGAAATTACTGTTGTGGCTCCTGCTTCACCCCCTACAACACTTGTCAGCCCAACATTCTCAACAGAGAATAAAACTTCTGTATCTTCTGCTCGAGGACCAAGAAAGTCTGTGTCGATTGTTTTACCAGAAGAGGACAAAGGATGACCTTTTGATGACAGTGAGAAATTGTAAAATGACAGACATGAAGGAGTCAGGCAGTGACTGCCATGTCACAATAATTTTATATATTTTTATGTAACATTTCAAAAATAGCCATTTGTTTCTTTGTTTGTAAAATAAATCTTATTAAACATCATCTCCAGATAATAGCTCAGCTGAATATGTCAACGAAAGCTACAATGTCAGGTAGAATTTAGGAGCACATGACAAAAATCATCAGAGCTAGTTAAAAACATCACTGATAGACATTATAGTTCTTCTCTGTTACGTCATTTTGATCCACTACCAGATAATGTTATATTTAGTGATGGTGTAAAGTTTTATTGCTCAGATACATGGATGTGGCTGAACAATGTGATGTTATTACTGGAAATAACTCAGAAACAAGAAAAAAGACAAAATAATCAACAGACGAGGATGTACTGGAGACTTGCAAAAACGCCTTTGTCCGTCCTTTGGCGTGCCAACAAGCGAGTGTGATTCTTTAATTGTGCCATACACCTTTAAGAAAAAGGACAACTATCATGCAATATCAGAAATAATTTCAACACAACAGCATTCACTTAATTTTAATTAAACACTAATGATCTTTAAGGAATGCTGAAAAATATTTTACGAATCTGTGCACATAAAACATAGGAAAATTCTCCAGACGTTTGTTCCTTGATATTTTACATAAACTCAGTCATAAAATTTAATTTTCAATTTCAAACACTTGCTATGTAACTGCTTCCTAGCACTTGTGAACACATTCATGCAGTGAGAATTCACTAAAGCTAATTTACGGTACACAGAAGAGAATACGAACTTGCAGGTGTGGTAAGTCACAATGTATATAGCTTGCTTTAATTTTTGTGATATATTGTGATCAATTTATGTGCAATATTGCACTAGAAATAAGCATAATGAGTGATATATTTTTTTTAATTTGTGTGTTTAAGTAGACTGTCTTGTGAAAAGTGATTCGTTTGAAAATATAGGATGCATGCCCAGAAGTGTAGTAATCTATTATTCCAAAACCAACATTTGTAAAGAGTTAAGAATACAATCTTGTTTATTACAGACTTTTTGACAAGTAAACAAATAATGGTTTTCTTTGAAAACCAAGTATTGTATGAAAGGTATTGCAGACTAGTAGATTTTAGCATTTCATTTTGAAATAATAAATATAAAAAATTCGAACAAATATACTACTATTTAAATTTGCCAGGAAGAAAATATATTCAAGTTTGAAAGTTACTCTTCATAAATGCTGATATGTTGTACTTACTAGTCATAAGTCTGTATTGAAAATGGAAGATATTTCATCAATTGTAATTTTGTTGAGCACTGACTGGCCAATCTTGTAAAGTACAAGTGTATGGCATTGTAGAAGCCAGTTCTTTTATACTTGTGTATATCATCTGGGATCCAAAAATAGATATTTGAAAATAAGGAATCCAAGTGCTCCTCTTATAATTATTTCAACTGACCCTTCCTCCATCAATGTTCATCATCATCGTCACCACCATCAAGATCATCGTCATCAATACTAATATTACGTGTTTTTGTCGCAAATTGGTCATCTTAGGACATGAACATGCAACTTGTAACCACTGAGGCCCAGTCCTATTCTTCCAGGAGCAAATGCACGTGTCTTAGTAATATTACTATTATTATTATTATTACAAAACACAGCATCAGCATCCATTTTCATAATTGTTAAAATTGTCAGATGCATGTTTTTGTTTAAAATAGCATTTCTCAAGATGATGTGAACATATTTAGGAAAATATGAAATGCTCGCCTGAAGAAACTTGTGAATTTTCAAAATGAGTGGTTATAATTTTCTTTTCCTGTTTGCAGATACTTATAGCAGTACATTAATTTCATGTACTATATCACATTTTATTTTTACTTTATAAATATGTATTTTATATTTGTTGACCTAGCATTGATACGTCAATAACAAATTAAAATTATTTCTTCTTTTCTGGAAAATTATTAACAATAAATTGTTTAATCTTGCTCTTGTTGTAAAACTTCTATTGTAAATCTGTCTTTAAACATAATTTCATTAGTTAAAGTTCAAATCATGATTATGAACATTTTTTTGAAAGAAAATTAGTTTTTCTGATAGAATCAATACAGTTTTTACAGTGCAATAAATCAGATATAACGTTTGTAAGCAGTTAGTTCAATAAGTTATTTTTCAATTTACGGTAACTAAACTAAAGAATTTCATGTAAAGTGAAGTTTCATAATTAGAGTACATTACATTTTAAAAATAACTATGTAATACATATTTTCACATAAAAACTTTAATCTTTATATAATTCTTCAGGCTTGATAATTTGAAAAAGTAAGCACAGTATAATAAATAATGCATTGTCGTTTATTATTTGACTTGGTTTATTTGAAGTGGAAATCTGCAATTAAAGCATACACCTCACATGTAGAGTAAAAGTAAAACTTCCTTCATAAAATAATTTTTATCTCATTTGTAGACACAAATGGCTTATGAGAAAGACACAGTTATATCACTGCTGTGTTTATCATAAGAAAACAGTTTGATGAGTTTATTACAAATAATATTCAACAAGCACATACCCAACTTTATAGTTCCTTTTTATTTTCCCTTCTTATAAAAATAAAACAAATATTTTTCCAAAACACCTTAATAAATAAAAAAGAAGATAAAGTGAAATATTTTCTACTCCACTTAATAGTTCAATAGCCTGTTTGTAAATAAATACACACACATGTATATAATTTTGTCCAAACCTCCATTTTAACAGTTTTTGCAATATTTTTGATATTGTTTCACTCTATTCACAAGTATTATGAAGGATCTCTGTACAATAGTTGGAAAACTATCCATGTTTTCCTAGTAACATGTAGCTCTTAGAAGCATCATTGGAGTAATACTCGATATAGTTTTTGATTTTCACATCTGTTCCCTTATCATCTACTATGAATTTCTTTAATTCAATATTTTTTCTTTCACTTTAGCCATTAATGGGCTTGTTACTTATCATCATGAATGTTTCAATTATTTTCTAACACCATCGTTTCACCCACTTCCTGGTAAGTTTTATGGTATTTTTCAAGGTTCAAAACTTCAGGAATTCTCCAGAGCTTATTTTCCGTATGTTTAAAGACTCCGTCAGGGGGTTAAAATAAGAGTCCTCGAACAGGAAAACAAAAATGTACATCAGTCACATGGAGTGCGATTCTCTAAGTAGCTAGAAAGCAATTGCATGAAGCACGAGTTGATGTTTGTTCTGCCTGGCGCATATGCCAAGAAACAATCTGATTCAAGATATTGATTCATTAATATCCAATTTACTTAAGAAATCAGTGAAATCTGAAACAACTTCATATTACTCTTTTACCATTCCCAATTTTATTATTAAAGTCATCACTGCTTTGACCATGAAATGTTAAAGTTACCCCTAAATATTTAAAAGTTGTGCAACCTTCAATTTTTTCAGTCTCTATGTCTATATCTTCCAGCTCATTTCAGATACTCAGTTTTGGACATATTAATCTTTAGGCCCCATTTTTCATATTCCTCTTTCAATTTATGGAGCATATAATTCAAGTCATCCATATCCCCAGCCACGATTACCTGATTGTTGGCTAAGAGTAGGGTATAATTTCACCACCGACTGGAATGCCCATACCCCTACATTTCCTCTTCCACTCTCCAAGGGCTTCTTCTAAATATATCTTAAAATGTGTTGGTGCCATAGTACAGTCCCTGTCAAAGGCCTGTCGTAACCAGGAATTCTGAGGAAACTTTATTGCCTATTTTGACCATGCTCATACAGTTGCTGTAATATTCTTTTATGGCATTAACATAAGTTTTTGACACTCCATTTTTATACAAACTGGTCCACAACTTGTTTTGCTCATCAGAATCCTTCACTTCCCTCTCTATTCTTTCTTTCAAATACAGCTATAAAGCCTAGCTAATGATGACATTACACTGATTCCACGATACCTGGAACAGTCTCTCCTATTGCCTTTCTATATAAGCAAAGTAATTTTTGCAGTTTTCCACTCCCAAGGTACGATATCCCCTTTCAGACCCGTATCATATATCATGGCCAGGATCTTGGAGAGTACATCTAGTGTAGACTTTATCAATTCATTATATATACAACCAGGCCCAGGTGTTTGACCGTTCGTACTTAATTTTACAGCTCAGATGCAAGATCATTATTTTGTTTTCTCATTGACTTCAGTTCAACCCATGCTTTATTTGCTCTTGATTAAGTGATAGAATTTTAAAGGTGCAAATGGAGGTTAAAAGTCCAGTGGATATGATTATGGTTGCATATGATAATACTGATATGGCAAGTAAGGATGTATTTTATGTAGAAATGACAAAAGGATAAATATATATAAAAATAACTTAAGAATGAATTTTTTTTAACAAAAAAATTATTTGAGCAGGTTTTTATTTAAAATTGATGTTGTGACTTTTCTAGAAATAAAACAATCAGCACATTTTTTCTAAATATTCTTAGTATTTTCCTCTTGTAATTTAGAATCAGTCTGGTAACTATTAGCCAGAAACTGTGATTGAAATTAAAATAATAGTGATAATATCATAGATTCTAAACCCACAAGTACCTGCTCTGAAAACGAGATAATTCATTAAAAGTTGTGCCTTGCTATGCTGAAGTTAAAAAATGTGTTGTTCTGAGAGAAAATAAATAACGTTGATGATATTTGTAATCTCTGTAAAATCTGTAATTCATTTGTACGTTGATGTACAAATGAATTACAGATTTTTTTTGTCTTTCTACATTCAGTTCTCAAAATTGAGATCACAGAGTATTATGGCAATCCTAACACAATATTAAAATTTTTTGTTGCATATTTTTAAATATTGTTTTCTTACACAAATGCAGAATTACGTGCACCTCTGAGAACCCTGGCATCCTGGAAATTTTGAAAAGGTTTTCTTACATAATAAAACATTTTATTATTGAAAATTTGTTCCATCCCTCATATTCCTCTTTTCTTAACCTGGAGATCACATCGTATCTGAATGCTTCTCTTCAGGCCATCTAGAAACTCTGTGAATGATTCAACAGAAACTCAATTGTGTTTATTAATTGCATTATTAAAGTTATAAAATCATTGACCTTGTAGTTTGTTTTCATATATTTACTAGAAAAATATGCCATGTGTAAATAAAAAACAAATAATGGAAAATGGGGCAAGGAGGCCAACTGTTGAAGTTATTTTATTAACTGTTTTTGTAAGTTACTTTATTAACGTAATTTCAAATTGTATTTGGCTGTAAGTATTTTAATAATTTGATGTAACTTATTATGTCCCTTACAACACATTTATTACACATTCTCATCATTTTCATTGCATATTACAAACTTATTTTATAAATTTATTACATTTCACTGGTTAGTACCTTCAAACCTTCTAGATCCAGTTTAAGTCTACTGCAGTACTGTTAAGCATGAATTGAATTGCTTTTTCATATTACGTGTTTAATACCACTAACATATTTATTCTCAGACTATGAAGTCTCATAGCACATTTTAACGGATGCGCTAACTTTTGAACAATAACTTTTGCACTGGCTGATGTACATATTTATTTATCTATTTAGTTACATGTTTAATCTTCTGTTGTTCAAAATGATGAGAATTCTCTTATTACTTTATATCGTGGCTATTAGCGTTTTATGGCGTTTGTAATATTTACAAGTAATTTAACATAAGTAACTTGTTATTTATATTCTTAATTGTTTTTTTTAATTTCCCTAATTATCATTCTAGCCTGATGATTGAGAAAAATGTTCTTGAAACATCACTAAACAAACTGGTTCAAGAAAATTAAAACTTCAAATTTATAATAATGAGATTCAGTGTTTTTATTAAAAAAATTAAAAATAAATTAAAAATATATAAACTAGTGTCTATCAAATAAACTCTGCAGCCAAATTGCTCTAATATGCACATTTCCCCAGATAATTCGTCAGATAGTCGCCCATACTTTTTTTTTATCAACAAATGGATAAAGATCTAAAGCAAAATTCACACATCACTTGTATTGATCTCTAGTCATATAATCAGATAATGAGTAAAAGAGGATATAATGAGTTAAGGACATTTACGGACATTGCCAACAGAATTCAATGCACAAAAAGTGACGTATAGAAACATATAATTTAAGAAATTGTTGATCAACATGTTAAAATAAGTCAGCAATTAACTCAAAATTTTGCGGCTTTCTGTAATAGATCAACGCTTTTTGGGGAAATGTTTGAAGAAAATTGCCCTAAATATTGGTGACGCCTTTCTTTGCGTCATGTTTTATAGAGTCTTCCACCGTTGCCATCACTCTGCAAACTCGTTTGTACATCACAAACATCAACTACATTAATGATCTTGTTTACTGTTTTATTAAATTTCAATCCTGAATTATGTACAGGTTGTCACCATTGCTAAGATATGTATTCAATTTAAACAATATTTCTGCAGGAAAGAAATCGCTGTTGCATTTAAATGGGATCTGTAATGTTGGCGCGATGATTTCATTGATGGTAGAAGTGAAGAAGATGACATCTTGGTAGCCTTCCCTACTGTTCGTATTCGGTCACAATACGGACGAAGCATTGAGTAAAGAGACGCTGAGCAGCACCAACAGCAGTTTCGTTATGTGACAAAAAAGGTAGAGGTCGTTTCATACCTCTGCATAAAATTGATTTTAATAATTTTCTATTAATAAGTGAAAATAAAATCCCCAATGTCATTTTCCCGCATTTTACACATTATGTGTGAAGACCTAACTGTCGATTTTTGTCAAGTACACATTATTTATCCTTCTTGATCTTGGAATCAAGTTTTGCAGTTGTAAATAGGGTTAATCAATAAATATTAATACCTTATTATTTCATTAAAATACTTCAATATTGCGGGTTTTAGGAAGTCTAAATTCTGATCAAACGTACAAGGACAAAGTTTTCCAGAGTGAGCGTAGGAAAAAAAGACGTCCACCATCTTTGATCCGATGTACAATCATTGAATGTACTTTGCGATGTATATTAGTTCTAGTATTAATCGTTACCGGTGTTTATTATCTTTTCACTTAATTAAAATGACATTAAACAGTTAAATAAAATTGTTATGAGGTAAGTAAATTTTATATTGCCCTTCGGAAGATCATTTTCCGAGTCCTAGGATTCCACAGCCGGAATACGACGTGTGTTTCAATCAGTGGAACCAAACCATTTCTTTTAGTTGTTTATGTAGTGGATGGGTCGAGTTGTTTTGAATTATTGTATTGGTGCTCTAGCTTTTGTATTCGATTGAGAAACTTTCTGTAAAAAGTTTATTTTTTTTCGGGTCAAAAATTGTTTGAAGATGATAATAAGGGAGTTGATGACGGAGAGTGGTGGCAGCTAATAGTTCAACGCATTCAAAAACATATTTTTAATGGACTGCGTCTGTTAGAATTCCATTTTTTCAAGCATCTTGGGTGCATTGTGCTCCGAAAATAGTTGTATTTTTAAGAATACTAAGTGCTTCACAAAGTGATGTGTTCGTGTGCCGTTGCATTTAAGGGTGTTGTCATATGTGTATGGGGTTGTTTCGGAGAGGCAGGAGAGTGCGTGATGCGATCGTTTATTCAGTAACATTAAATTAGTGAAAATGTTTGCATGCTAGATTTATGGTACGTGTTTAATTTTTATATTATATTATTGAAGAAGTGATCATTTTAATGTTGTGTTCAGTGATTATTGTATGCTGACTCTTCATTTGGATAGCCTTGTTGAGACACTCGGATATTTCGAAATTTACACTGTGCTGCATGAGTTTATTGATAATTGTCATGTCTATTGTCTGTGTTCAAAATAAATTTTCTTTTTCTTTATGTCGGTGGACATTTCCAGGCTTTGACGAAGTACATATGAGATGGATGATGAACAAGAAATAGATTCTAAAGCCACCTCACCCAGTGGTGTGGGTGATGAAGATATAGATATGGATGATGCTTCCATGGGAGATGGTGAAGAAGATGATGACGATGCAGAACCAGGTTCTCCTAATACAGACCAGCTTTCTGGTTCTCTCATGTCATTAGACCAAACTGAACAAGCTGAGCTGTCGCCCAGCCCAGGTTTTCATTTTTGAAACATTTTGTATCAGTATTATTTATTTCATTACAGCACCCTTAATATTGCCAAGATTTTTAATTGGGGTTCATTTTTTCTTTTATTTCTTTGTTGAGAACTGGGGAAAAACATTTCAGAAATGATCAAAATTTGTTTGGTGATTAAGTATTCTTGAACTTATTTTTGTGTTAACTTAACTTAACATTAACTTACATTGTGTTATGTAGGAACATCACAAATTCAGACTCATGAAGAGTCTTCTTTGGGCCTTGCCCCCTTGAAACATTCTCATGTTAGTGGCAAACCATTAAGCATTCGGAGGGGTCCAGGGCGGCCTAGGAAAGAAAGACCAACATCTCGGAGAAAAGGAAGCTTGGGTCTAAAATTGAAGAAATGGAGATCGTAAGTATTAATGAATATTATATTTCGCTCTCATGAAAAGTCAGCCGTGATGTTATTTAATTTGGTGTGATTTGGATCAATGCAATTTTTTTTATTGGCATTATATCTCTCAATCTGATTATTTTGCTCAGTAATGTGTACATGCGTGGAATGAGCAAGAATTCCAAAGATGATGGTAGAGAAAGTTCAGTGGTTGAAGATGCTGATCCTACTAACAAATCACCTACTCCTAGCCCTATGGAAGAGTCAATGCCAACCGGTGTCTTAGCAGATGACCCAGGATCTGGTGTGAATGAAGCTGGTTCAACTGAAAATGTTGGGGAAACTGGAACTGTTGGTGGAAGTATTAAACAAGAAAGAATGCCAGCTCCAGAAGAACCCCCATATTTTCCTGAGCAGTGGTATATGATTGTTTCTTTGCTTCTTTTGTTTTGTTTTAAAGAAAAAATTCTAAACAGAAGTACATAGAACTTAATCACCATCAGTAAACAAAGCATGTACAAATACTGCTACAAAATTGTTTTATTGCATGTTATTGAAAGATTTAAAATGAAAAGAAAATTAATTTTGCTTTATTTAATTAAGCAAGAGTTGCGCATCATGACTTTTATGTTGAACAGTGGTTTTTAATTGATTTGGCTGATTCTAATTCCTGTAAATTATTGTTTCATTTTAATTTATTAATTATATTTGCTCTTCACTTCAAATATCTGTGATTACAGTATTTTGCAATTGCAGTTTTCTGTTCTTCAAGTATTAGTTTCTTTTGGGTCAGTCTTATGTTTTGTTTTTGAAGGCCTGGGAAAGTGTGTGCTCTATGCAACCTTGGAGAAAGAAGTCAGTTGGGCCAGGGAGACTTAATGCAGTTAAGTTGTCCAGAAGGTTTCACTCCTCTCAAAGCCAGTCCAAGTGGCAGCCGAACAGAGGTAGACCTACTCAGTCCGAGAGGTGATGGAAATGATGGTCCTGATCGAGAAAGTCCCATTACTTCAGGTGATAAGAGCCCTCGTGGCAGTGGTCCTGCTGCAGTGACGATTCGTCGTCAGAAAAGTATGGCAAAGTGCAAGTACGTATTTGTAAAATGATATTATTGGTTGGTTAACGCGTTTTCATTTCATGACATTGCAGTGATATAAAAAAAAGGACAAATGTGTATTCCTAGAATTCTAAAATTCATTTTTTCCCCAAATTATTAAAAGGTTTTTCATTTTTTCCCTAAAGAGATTAAAAAATCTGCCTCTATGTGAAAATGTTTTTTTTTTAAATTTTGCTGTAAATTAATTAAATTGATGTGAATGTTCTATCACTTTCATATTTTAGCAAGTTTTTGATCAAAAATTCTTTTTCAGGAACCCTTCTCAAGCAATGTATGTTGAACCTGTGGATGAATTGAGTGTTGTGGGGTTTGTTGACGAACCAGAAGTGGGTGTTATATTTGAGGCTTCAGGACATTTTTATGTTCATCATTCATGTGCTTTGTGGTCATCTGGTGTTACAAGAACAGAAGATCTAGTGTTGGAAAATGTTGGTCCAGCTGTTCTGCAAGGATCATCACGTCGTTGTTCATATTGTGGTCATTTTGGAGCAACCATTTCGTGTATTGTGGCATCCTGCCAGAAATTTTTACATTTCCCCTGTGCAGCTGCCTCTGGGGCATTTCAAGATTGCAAAAGTGTTTCAATGGTCTGCAATCAGCATTTGGATCAAGTACCTCTTTTAGGTAAGTTAGGAGGAGGTTTTCAAATAGCTTTAAAGCCAAAACCTTAACGTGTAATACCTTTTTAGCAATTAAGATCCTGTAGCTCTTAAAACTACTGGAAGTTATTTAGACATGCACTTCATACCACACAAAGGGAAAATTCAAATTCAGGATGGTGGGAACAAGGGGGAGGAGGAGGGTAATCTTTTGATGGTCAGGAGTAGTCTTATTAACAGTGTCCAGTGTGTGTTCCTTTTTTAGTGATATGAAAATTTTATATGGGGATTTCTTCACTGCAAAGCACCAAAAGAATGGTGGATATAAATGGATTTAGTGACTATTACAGAGTGCTTTCCTAAAACAAATGAGTGATCTGAATTTACTATCCAATGGTTTGTAAGGTGAATTTTCCTAAAAGTATTTTCACGTATAACGCATTGGTTTGTGTGTGTTGCAGACTCAAGGATATTTTATATTAATCACAAGGGTTGAAGTTCCTGGCCTTGTTCCCTACTTCAAAATGCATAGCGAAGTCTTCTTGATCATGAAAGTAATTTGATATAAAAATGCAAGGGCAATTGTGTGTGTGTGTGTGTGTGTGTGTGTGTGAAGCAAGTATAATACACGCTATTTGGTAGATCCCTCCTCCTCTCCCACACGATTGCTCATCTATAAGACTCAATTTATTCCCGGATTTAACTATAGTGATTTGTGACATAATCGGTTGGACACAGTCATCCAATCAGAAGCTTCGTTTCAACTTTCATTTTGGGTATTGAAGTTCCTGGTTGGATAATCATGTCATAGCTGATGATCTGCCACAAGTCACTATAATTAAATCAGAATATACACGCTTGCTTTTGAAAAAAACAATTTCAGGAATTTCTAGTGAATATGCGCATGGACACATTCATTAAAAATTAAAACTCAAAATTGTTGAAACGAAAGCATGGAATCGGGTCTGAGGATGTTAAAAGGGTGCATTATCTACTTAATGCTCGCTCTTTATTAAAAGCCACAATGAATCACTTCCTTTGATGTACATCATTGTTTTAATGTTCACATTTGGTTATGAAAGAGATCTCTGATGTTTTATTTTACAATTTTCAGTGAGTGGTGAAATAGGTTGCATGTCATGTTTTGGATTGGGAGATGTTTCCAATTTAATGATGTGCACCATTTGTGGCCATCATTATCATGGTAGTTGTGTTGGACTTGCCCTCCTTCCTGGTGAGTAATAATGTGTTAGCAATATGGAGTATATTTTTGTACACTTATAAGAAATATAATGACCTTTATCTGTAAGGTGTTCGAGCTGGTTGGCAGTGTCCTGAATGTCGAGTATGCCAAGTCTGTAGACAAACAGAAGATGTTTCGAAGGTTATGTTGTGTGAAACTTGTGATAAAGCCTACCACCCTCAGTGCCTGCGCCCGGTAGTTACTAGTGTTCCTAAATATGGGTGGAAATGCAAGGTATGACGATATTAATTAATTTTTTATACATATTACAAACCTACAATCTGCTATAAATATGTAAAATCACAAATTTGAAATTTCAAATACAAATTAATTTGTAACAAGTGTTATTTTGTAATTGGAAAGAAAGTGTTTTGTAAAATATCTCATTTTTGAAATAATGAGATCTATTATTTGTTCATTCTTCAAAAAAGCTAATTTCTTTGCACCATATTATGCTTCTGATTGGATAACTCGTCCCTAGGGCATTTAGGTAAATACAGTAGTTTTCCTCATAGTCTTGAGCATTGAAAGTATTGTGGATATTCGTGTAGCACCCCCATAGCTTCCATATGCCAAATTGCATATCACCTAAAAATAAATATATTGCTTAAGTTGCATATAAATACCTATTTTGTCAAAACAAATATTAATACATATTTCGCTCAATTTTATGTGAATACATTAATATTTTGAGCATTTTCTAGTTTAATACTGTAAATTTTTTGAATATATGAGAAAGGACATGCCAGTTTGGAATGCAGTGGTTGGTCACACAGCACATGTTACTGTAAGATTTCCCCCAATTGTGGAGCGAGTCTGGTCAGGTCTGTGAAGACCTCATTATGACACAACCGTTGATTCAAGCAATGACGCTCTGGAAAATGATACACATTCATAACACAAACTGCTCCCAAATTTCCTCAGATACGCAGACGAAAAGTGTAGAATATTGAAGAGGATGACGTTACATTTTACTACAAGACTTGATCTTGGTTACTGAGTTTCTTATGGGTAATAAATAAATATTTTCATTGTTTTAACATGTATTTTGCGATTTTTAAGCACCAATAAAATAAATATTTTTCGGTTTTTTAGCATCTAAAAGCTTGAGCCCTACTCATCTCACTTGTTTTAATAACACAATCTGGAAAATGGAAGTTATTGTGCAAACAGTAATTGTCATGCAAATATTACCCCTATGTAAAAATTTACCTTAAAATCTGGAAATGTTTTAATCTCTTCATGCTCTTCTCATCACTTTCTTATGCAGACGATACAAACTCAAAAGATTTTTCTTGTGATGCTCTCAATATTCAATTTTTCATAGTTATTTGCACCTCCACAAAATAAGATTATTTTGTTCAGAAACAGATTTAAATGAATGTAATTTTGAGTTTTTCCAGTTGACCATTCTAAGATTCTATTTGAGCAAGCAACCTTCTTCACATTCAGTATTACAGGTATATATTCTATACAGGTTTCTATATTTATGGCAGGATAATGCCTGATGTATTATCTTGGCCCTCCGTTGATTTTCATGTGTTTCTCATACTTAATTGAGCTGTATCTCAAAATTGGATAAGTGTAACTTTCTAAGGGGACACAGATAATGATTTTCAATCCAAGAACACTGACAGTTTTATTTATTATAGATAGTAGTAATCTACATTAGTTACATACACTAGCATATAGATATTTATCAAACACAAGTGAATATGTAAGTTACTGTTTAGTCAAAATAATATTGCCAATTTTCTAAAAAATGATCGTTTGAATGAGTATGTTATAACTAAACTAAATCATCAAAATCATGGTTTTTGTTACTCCTCTCTTTTTTTTCACATGTATCATTGTTTATTTTTGATCTTCCTCCCATGCTGTGGTGTCTGGTGAAAGTTTTGTACGTTGAATTTGCATTCGTAGTCTTTCAAATGATGTACATTCCCTTTTATGTCACCAGATTTTTTTCCTGTCTCTCTCTTATTTGTGGCCCCGGATTCTTTAATGATTATAGATTAAGGTTTCATGTTCTTGAAATTCGTGTTGTCTAACTTTTGTAAGAAGTTTTGAACTGTGAACTCTTATGTCGCTGCTCCTCTGTTTCATTGGTAATCTTGTGGATAGTGGCGAGTTTTCAAGGTTGAGAAATTTGTACTAGAATGGAAGAAGTGCATTTATAAAATGGTATAGTTACAATTTTTATTAAAACCTATGAAATTCTGAAAGTTTGCAAAGTTCCATTTATTTTTGAATCTGTCATATACCTCCAATATTAAAGCCAGAGATTTCTTTCTTAATGTAATTTATCCCTCAATTTTAGATCTTGAAATGATGTCATTCACATAAAAAAAAGGGAGTATGTTGAGTAATAATAGTGACACTGAGAGAAGGACAAGTTTTCACTAGTTATTGTAGTTTATAGTTTCGATTTCTTAAAACAATTAGGTTTCCAGCTTAACTGTTCTGAATGTCAGTGTAGCAAGATTAAAACATTGATAATTTCAGCAAGGGATAAAAAGGGAATGTTATTTTAACTTTTGTGGTATTTAGACATTGTTTTATTTCTTTGCAGTGCTGTCGAGTGTGCAGTGACTGTGGTTCAAGAACACCAGGTGCTGGAACATCATCTCGATGGCATGCTCATTACACTGTGTGCGATTCGTGCTATCAACAGCGAAACAAAGGATACTCTTGTCCTTTGTGTCGGAGAGCATATCGAGCTGCAGCACACAAAGGAATGGTTCAGTGTAGTCTGTGTCGAAAGTGAGTTATACATTTTTGTTTGATTGTCTTATTCTAATTACAACATTCTTTTCATCTTTTGTAATGTGTTTCCAATACGCTGTTGCCAAGATTCTTTTATTATTTTAATATTAATTAAGAAACTAATATCAATTTTCTTTCAGATTTGTTCACGGGACATGTGATTCTGAAGCTGAACTACAAACATACCAACAGAAAAAAGAAGCCAATCCCGACTATGAATATGTTTGTCCCAACTGTAAAAGCTTAACTCTTGCAGGGCGACAGATGCTAATGAAGAGAAAAGATAGTCAGTTTTAGCCTTATAAGAACTTTTTTTTTCTTTTGTATGGTAATTTTACTTTCCTAATTACCAATAAAATTTTACAGGTACTGATGATGGGCTGGATTTTAACTTATCTGCATCACAAGAATCTTTATATTTGGATGAAAGTACCGAATCTGACAGTTTTTCCATGGACAAAGTGAGCATTATTTGTTTTTGTTGTTTGAATTTGAATGCAATGTAAAGTTCCTAATGCTTTCTTCCTTTCTTCTTTTAGACTGGTTTTGAAGTATCAGACATGCCAAAAGCAATTGGTTTAGGCAAAGGCAAGCCATTTTGTGCCAGTAAGATTGCAAAAAAGAAACTTGGTCTAAGTTCTATATCAGGTCGCCCAAAAGGAGTGGGCAAGGGAGGAGCAGGACTGGGAAAAGGTGGTGCAAGTTACCAGAAGCGTCAAAAAGTGACTGAATTTGGAAGGAAACGAGGTCCTAAATCAAAAATGAGAGGAATTTTTGGTGTTCCAGGTGTGGGACTGCAGGTAAGGTGTTGTACAAGTTTATTATAAATAGTAATTTGTTTCAATGAAAGCAGAGTTAACGTTGTGAATTTTCTAATTGTACATTTCATCACCTTTTTACTTGTTCTTACTTCTGTCCCATATTACTTGTATGTAGTGTTGCTACAAGAGCACATTCTTTCTCATGTTATTGGTAATGATCATACACACGAGCACACACACACACTTACATACATATGTATATACTGGTAGCAATACCACTTGAAAAACATCAAACCAGATGAAGCACAAGAGGGTGAAAAAAAAAAAATCTTTGTGTGCTGTATTCTTACAAAAAGTCCAAAGAAATTTTATTTGGCCTATCTGAGATTGTAACTCTAGTCTTGAGAATGCATGTTTACATAGCAACAATCGTACCCTTTGGGCAATACGGTTGATATGTTTGTTTTGGCTGCATAAAGTAACTACATTGTGGTGATTCTAACATTGAAGATACAAGAAGTCTTGCCACGTTAAATAAGGCCAATTCAATTCAATTCAATTCAACAATTGTTACTATTTTCTGTCAAAAAGTCAATACTTTTTCCTGCAGCATTATGTAGCTTTCTCTACACGAGGTACTCAAGTAAGTCTAAGGGGTTTTGAGGGTATGAGCTCGAAGTGAGCTTACAGCTTATGTGAATGTGACTACAATAATTTTTTTCTTCTAATAAAAAAAGTTTGCAGAATTCCACTAATCCTCAATAATGCTCCTAAATACTTGCAAAACAAAGCTTGAAAATAGAAACACAGAAGGTAACACACAAAACCCTAATATTTTATTTTTTTAAATTTATTTAATGAAACAATGGTGGCAGCAAAAGCTGTTACGCACATATCTTATGAGTTAACTCGAGAGTTCCTGGTGTCACCTGCAGGTGACACATCTTTGTCCATTTTCCATAAATAGTCTTGTATGAATTTGTATGTATGTATGTATGTATTTGGTGTCATTAAAATCATGTTTTGATCTTTCTTGAACATACTGAAATGGAAATTTGGCACCACTCCTACTAGGAAATTGTTTTAATTTATTCGAGACGTCTTGCAGTAATATTCGCGCATCATGCATTTCTGCTCTTTCTCCCTCAAAAATTGGAAGATAAAGGAAGTACAATTTCAAAACTGCAAATAATTCATTCGTAATTGGTCATATGATAATTAATAGTTGATGACATAGATTTTATAGGCCACAAATCTGGGGTGTCACCTCCAATTTAGCGTGTTTCATATAGACTCAATGCTATACCGTGATCTCGGGTGGTATGCATTTCTACATGTTTAATTTTTATTGTTTGCAGTCTAGAAGTGCACAAGAGTTTAGAAATGAAAAATTATTATTACCATGAAGATAATTTTCTTTTGTTACCTCCTGATATTGCTCTGTTTATCAATGAAGAGACGGGTGATGAAACTAAAAGGGACACAAATCATCTGCCCGGCTGATTTCTGAACTTGGTTATTGAAGTTCACAGAACGATGAAAGATTATTCTGGGGCAGGAAGTGTTTATCAATCACATGTAGCATGTGAAGAAATAGTTTCGAAAATAGCAATAGCTGACTTTTCAGGCAGGAAATATTACAAGAAGAAAAAACCAACTCACTCTCAAACACGGTTGAAGATGAAAGCTACTTTCATCTCAAACCTGGTAAAAGAGATGAGGACGCTAAAAATGACAAATGTTCTTTGGACCCTAATCAAGCATAATGCTTGGCTTGCAATGAAATACAGTCAAAATGCCACTGAAATTACGTACTGTGACTTTCGAAGGTGATTGTCCATGTTTACTGCGGTTTGTATTACGGAAAGGCGCTTCGATGTTTCCCGTAGTCTCCTCCATCAGTGATTGAGTGAACGGGAAGTAACAACAGATTCTGATGTAAACCGCATTAGAATTGATTGTTCTCAGAGAAAATGCAGTTTGTGTTACCAATGTTCAAGAATCGTGTACCATAAGTGCTAAATAGTACTTCGTTTTCAGTGTTGGTACACATTTCAAAATACAAATTATTGAAAAAAAATATTTATTTCTACTTTTAACTTCGATTTCATGCGATTCTTGTGAGTAAAAAGAACCACTGAATTACAGTTCATATGATACATAGAATGCAAATGCTTGTAAATAATTTTGTTGCATTTTATTATCACTAGACGGACCCATAAAACGGATCCATAAAACACTATTATATTATCACTAGATGGATCCATAAAACAAAAATCATAATATTGATTTTTAAATTAACCTACTCGGAGGTTAAGGAGATGGATAAATAAGTAATTTTCAGAATTGCAAATCAAAATCTCCCATATTATAAGAAAGGGAATTGCCAAGAATCTCAAAAATGTTTTATATTATATAAATTTATAAATTACATAAATAGAATCTATGTAATATATTTCCCAGTTTATAAATCTATAATTCAATGCATTGGCATATATTGATCACATTTCTTTTTAGTTTATCACCCATCTTTCACACAGTTATCTAATGTATGGATCATGAACTTCACTTGGTCCACTCTTAAGGCCTTGTGTCTGATGCATGCTCCTTTCCGCCACATTTAAGGTCTTCTTTCTTATGCAGACGGCTGGCAGTTCTTTCCAAGTGTTGACGATTGTATTGGTGATGAAGTGAGATCTGATCTGTGTGTGTGTGTGTGTGTGTGTGTGTTTTTCTCCTTTTCTTTTCAGTTTCATTGTGTAGTATAGTCCAGGTAAATTACGTTCATAGGCTGTCCTCGATCTAACATTCTGGTCAGCACATCAAGTGAGCTGATCAGGTTGGTGATTGTTTTTCCTCCTGATGCAATTCCGTGTTGCTCTCTGGGGATTAAGCTGTTGCTTTGTGCATGGTCACAGAGTTTTTATGCTCTTAAGTCTTTGTATCACTATTCCAACCATGCTTGTCACACTTACGGGCCTGTAATTCTAAGTTTGCTGTTTGTCACCTTTTTTAAAAAATAGGTGTAACTGCAGATATTTTCCATTCAGAAGGAGGTTTTGCTGTGTCAAGTGACTATCTGAAGAGTTTATTGAGAGTTGGGGCAGTTGTGTTGCACAATTTTTTAAATAAACTGTTGAAATGTGGTCAGGGCCGAGAGAGGAGCTTTCGTCCAGACCGAGGAGGGTTTGGGTGATCTCTATATTTGTAAATTCAATATTTTCCATTGTTTCTGATGTTTAGTTGTTGATTCTATTATGGTGGTTCTATTATGTAAACCTCTTTAGAGTTGTGAAGTGTTCTGCAATTTCCAGGGGGTCAGATACTGTGAGCCCCCTGCATTGTATGATTCTAGGTGGTCCTGTCTTGCATACAGTCTGCTGCCTGATATAAGAATAGAAACTCTTGGCTCCTATTCGTACCAATTGTACCACCTGCCGTTTTTACTGCTCTTTGACTAAATAAATCAAAAGTAACATTAGTAGTAGTTCCTATGAGCAGGTCCAAGACAGAGCATGTCAATGTAAACATTTTGAGATTCTGTTTGGCTCATAATATTCAATTTCAATTATTTATTTATTTGTAAACAAGCAATTTTTGTTTTTCTCACTTATAAATTTTTCCTTAGTCCCCTGAAAAATGTATAAGTGAATTTTGACTGTCACTCCCTACAATATGTGTAATTTCTTCAATTATTTTCGTTCCGCAGCAATGTATCTCCCTTCTATCACTGGCTTTGTAAGCAAACTGTTTCCAACTGACATTATTTTTCAACAGTATTTGGGACAGCAGCGTAATTCTTGCTCTGCATATATGCGTTAATTTATTAATATGGAAAATTTCACAATTCTGAGTTAATCAAACTGGAAACTTGCCCCTTTTCTTCCTGCCAAAGATGTCAGGAAAAATGGCATGATTTATCCTGATAATCCCATGTATAAAAATGGCATTTACTGAATACTCAAGGCACCAAAAAAATGTTGTTGATTTATGATTTTACATTTTTCCAGAGGCCACAAGCTGATTCATCATCCACCAAGACTGAAGATGAACCTGGTGTTGAAAATCGTCTTGTTCTGTGTTCAGCTAAGGATAAATTTGTTTTGACTCAAGACATCTGTGTGATGTGTGGTGCTATTGGTATGGATCAGGAAGGTTGCTTGATAGCATGTGCTCAGTGTGGCCAATGTTACCATCCGTATTGTGTGAATGTCAAGGTATGCTAAATTTCTTGGTATGTTTTTATTTTTTGGATGGAAAAAATAGAGTTCAAGATATTCACTTTGCATGTGTGAATTGGAGGATATCATTACTGCCCAAATTGTCCTTTCATTTCATATAAATTTTAAAATATTTTTTAGAAATCAATTCAGGGAATTATTATTATTATTATTATTATTATTATTATTATTATTATTATTATTATTATTATTATTTTTTGTGGCAATGTCAGAATTGAAGATGGGCTATCCCTGGAATGTGGGACCCTCCCCCACTAAAAAAAAATCGTTTTGTGTGCCCATGCCTCTCTCATTGGAAGCCATCGTGTGACATTACTTCATGGAGAGATGGGTGGGTAGCTGGGCCATAACCTGAAGTTAAATACAGTGCCTTTCTTCTTTTCGTGGTGAAAGTGAGGAACTCTTGTATTATGCTCCTCTCTACTTGATTTGAGCATATGTTCCACCATGTTTGATGGGAAAATATCCACATCTAAGGCTTTGTTAAGTTTTTTCTCTGAGTATCTCATCCTACACATATAAATATTGTTTGCATGACTATCATTATCTTCATGTCCAAAAAATTCACATTTGAGAATGAGTGCTCTTTTAAATCTAAACAGATAAAATTTAATGCAGCCATGTCCTGATAGCACTTGGGAAAGGTAGTAATTTACCTCCCCATGACTTCTGCTGAACCACGGTTCACTACTTGGAATCAACACATAGGTCCACCTTCCTTTGGTGTCTGTCCCACCTCACTTGCCATTCTGCCAGAAGAGATGTCCATGCTCGCTTCTTGATTCTCTTTCGTTCTGCACAGATTCTTTCTCAAATGGGGTCTGTTGCCTTCACTTTGTCCTAAATTGTTTTATTTTTTGTCGCCAACAAGTCTACAGGAGTTACACTAGCCAGTACCCCTACTGCGCTGTCAGAGACTGTGCTATTCTCAGCACAAACCTTCTTTGTACATGCATGTACATCAGTCTCATGCAAGCTTTAGAGTTGGTCAGCCCACACTTGGGCCGCATTTAGTAGTTTGGAATGAACTACTCAAGAGATCATTTTACACTTCGCTTGTTTTGGACTTCCCACATTTGGCATTAATTTAGAGAGTTCAGAGCATATCTTCGCTGTCTTGTCTGCAGTCTTGTTAATGTGCAGTCAGAAGCTGAGTCTGTGGTCTATCTCAACTCTCAAATAGCTTATTTTCTGTCTCCAATTGATGTTCATGTCCCCCATTCGAACATTTGGTGTATGGAATGTTCTTTGGTCCATAATTAACAGTTTTTCCGCTTCAGTTTTCTCCACAGAGGAGTCTCATGTGAAGCCACCTTTTGTCCCTAAAAAGGGTTTCAATCACTTTCAACTCCAAGTCGATATTGTTGCTGTGTCAGATAAAGAGGGTATCATCTGTTTAGCTTATAAGCTGGGTGTCTGATAGGGTATCAATTTGTAGTAGATTGTCATACATGACATTCCATAATAGCAGACCCAGCCTAGAGCCTTGGGGCATACGCAAGTCACATTGTTTGCAATTGAGGAGTCCGAGTACACTATTCTTCTCTCGTGAAGGTAATCTTTGATCATCCTCAAGACATTCTGGGACTTTTTTGTTTTTTGTACGCTTCAATGATGCCTCTCCGTCTGGCAGAGTTGAAGACATTTGATATATCTATTGCTACTAGTGCACAGAACCCTTTTTTTTCCCCATCACTGTCCTTGTCTGTCTCTACCACCTTCATGATGGATGGCATCCATTGTCGAATGTCCCTTTGGGAAGCTATATTGTCTGAGAGATAACTTTGCCCGTAGGTTTCCATGACTGTTGTTAAAATTAGACCCTCATGTAGCTTGCCTATAGTATCCAACAAGCAAAACGGTCTGAAAGATGAAGTCTGATTTATGGGCTTATTGCCCTTCCGGAGAAAAATGATTTTCTTTTTCTTCTGTCATGTAAGGAATCTTCCATTGTTATGGCAGCAGTTGAACATGGATATCAAGCAGTCCGGGTACTGCTCCATCACATTTTTCAACGTATCGTTTGGGATCCTGTCGAAGCCTGGTGCTTTCCCACATTTCATGGTTGGCACATCACCACGCAGTTCTTCCAACGTAAACTGATCTTTTTTGTCAAAAGAAAAGCTGCTCAGTCTTTCCCTTTCCCAGCGACCGCTAGTGGGTGCTAGATATTGCTAACTACTATGCCCAGCATGGGTAATCTAATCCATGTGTCTTAAAGACTGCCCTAAATGTCTTAATCACTATTTTGTAGGCAGTGCCCCAGAAGTCATTTGCGACATCCGTGCCCCCTCTTACACACCCTGTCATGTCTTTTCAAGAATTCGGTTTTTGCTAGAATTGTACAAGCTGAGATGATATGATCAATGGTTTTTACTTGTTCCCGGCAGATGTGGCATTTATCATCTTGGGAAATTTTGAGAACCGCTTTATCATAATATCATGTTCTCGACACCTGACCCTGAGCACCTATTAGAACTGCTTCCGATTCAGGCTTCATTCTTCTCCTTTTAAGCCACATAAATGATTGATCTTTATTGATGTACTCCTTGTCCATTCTTTTTAGATATTGTCCATGGAGTGGTTCGTCTCTCCATGATTTCATTAACATTTTTTGTGTCTAACATTTCATGTTTAGTAGTATCAGAGGTTCAGTGTCTGTGTTATTCTGCATGTCTTGCATAGTTTTCTTTGCAGTGCTTCTTGCTACATTAACAATGCCTCTGTTTCCCATTCTTTGGTGAGATTTCATAATCTGCCTTATTAGAGGGTCATCTTGATGACTGACTACATACATTCCTATCCCAACTACTGCATTGTGCCAGGAGGCTTCAATTTGTCTGAGGCCTCTTCCTTCTTCACTATGTGACACATAGTCTATGTACAGCAGTTCGAGGGTGAGCAACATGATGCATTGTTAGCAGTTTTCTGGTTTTTGATCAGTGATTCGAATTTCTTGTTCAGTCCAGTCCAGTCCACGAGTTCAAAACAGTAATCGACCACCAAACTATGAATTGCTGATATTTTATTCCTGGAGTTCAGAGCGGACTGCAGGACGAGTCTCATTCTTCTATAATACTCCCTACGAATGTTCTCTTTCATTGTATCGTTTGAGATGGTTTGACAATCTTCAATGCTTAGATATTTGTAAGTGTTACCTCGCTGAAGATCTAATCGAAGTGTGCGTATCAACTTCAGTGCTCTCTGAAGTTGTCACTTTCCTGATCTTTAAATTCATTTTTGCCCACTAGTCAAGACCAAATTTCGTGGCCAAAGGCATTTACGACAGACAGCATTTGGAAGAGAATCATTCTTAGCAAACACTTCAAGATCATCCTTGTAAAACAAATGTGATAATAGTAAATAAATGTGATAATGTGACAATGGAGCTTGTAACCTAAGTCAGCTTGCAGTAACTGTCTAGATAGTGGGATCAAACTAATACAAAACAGCAGAGGAAATAACATGTCTTTGAAAAATATCCCTATTGATCTGAATACTTCTTGTTTCTGCTGCTTCCTTTCTGCTGTATGTTAACAACCTGGTACTCTACGACTATATACTAGCCTTGCAAAACTCAATAAGTTTAGGATGAAATCGATAGATCTCCAGGTTCTTCAAAATCCAGTTGTGTGATACTTTGTTAAAGGCCTTCTGGTAATCAATCCAAGCCATGCTTAAATTACGCTTTCATTTCTTTACATCATTCAAGATGACTTTATTTAGTAGCAAGATTTCCTTGCAGCCCTAAGAACCTTTACGACAGCCTTTTTATTCAACTGGCAATAGATGATTCCTCTCTAGGTGTCTGGACATTTAGTCAGCTATAGCTGCAGTTATAACTTGGTACAGTACTGGCAGACAAGTGATTGGCCTGTAGTTCTTTGCCAAAGAGATGTCTCCCGCTTTAAGTAGCAAATCTGTGATGCTACATGTGAGCTATTTTGGGAGTTCCTTTGGGCTTTCTAAAATTTTATTAGCTTTGCGAGATGATAATGTGCTAGTCTTTGCTAGATGAGAATGTATTGCTGTTAATTTCTTAATCCAATAATTCTGGATCTTATCGTTTCCGGGGAATTTACATTTTGCCATGTTCTTAATTGCTCAAAAGGGGTCCTCTCCTGAGAATTTGTGAACATGTTCTACTGTTTCAACCCGTTCATGGGCAGCATCAACTTCAGATTGAAGCCAAGATGAGTCTTTGTTATAGGATCTGCTTTCCTCCCAGATTCTTGGCCAAAATGCTTTGACGTTATCTTCTAAAGATGTGACAGCATTGCCATGTGGTTTTTGAGTCAGAGTGCGATAGAATCTCTTCACATGTGTTTTAAACAACCGATTCAGCACATGGAAATCTATTTTACATTTGTAACATCTAATTCATTGAGCCTGTGCTTAATTTTTCTCTTTTAGCTTATAGGCTACCATTAGCCTGCTTGTGTCATTTTCAATTTGGAATTTTTGTTCAGCATTGAATATTTTTCATTGAACTTGAAAGGTGTGCGTTGATTTAAAAGATGCCTATCCATTTCATAGTTCTTTTTCCTCATGGTGGTAAAGGGCTCTGTACTTACTGTTTTGTTATCGGTCGTCAGTGTTATTGGCTGCCCCCAAAATTATCTGAGTTACCAGATATTCAGTTGCATACACAATGTGATTGATTTCAGTTATGTCTAGATCTGTACCACCTCATTTAAGACATTGTTCGCTGTCAGTATCTCTCTCATAGCTTTGGCATTTTCACATATTCTCCTCAATGGTGCACAAGATTTGAATAGAAGTTGATGAACTCTTTCTATCTCATGTCGAAAGATATTTCACATCATGTCCTTATTGTGTGGTTCATTGTCAGATGAATTTTCACCACTGACGTATGTTTCATTGGAAAGAGATGAACCTTCTACAAGACTGTCATTTTCAAGTTCATGTTCGTCATGTGGGTAGTTTGATCGAAGAACATACTCTGCGTTTCTCTGAATGTCGGCAAAATCTGCTGTGAATTATCCACTGCTTAATATGTATTGTTATTGTCTGGCAAGCTTCTTTAAATCTAGGATAGGTCTCATACCTGGGTTCTGCTAGCTTCATTCCTTGAAAACTTGTATTTCTGAGCCCCCATTTTTCGCTTTTGCATAGTAGAAGCCACATATCACCTTCAATTCATCCCTTATCCATCTCTGATGATAGCTTCGAGCTACAGCTTATTCGATCCGTGTGTCTAATATCCGTGGGATAGACATCAACACGGTGACATTAGCTGGGTTTCTGAACAGGTATGGATCATTGGTAAAACAAGGCTCATTAAGATTCATTACAGTTCTTGTTCTATCTGCTTTGCTCATTGGTTTTAAGTGAAGTTTTTGCAAAAAGCAAGTTCGAGTTCACAAATCACATTTAACCCATTGGTTATATCCTGTCATCCATTACTAAGATCTACAATGGCCTGGGGTCAACCCCTGCAGGGCCCAGCAAGGGATTTCTGCCATCGCCAGTTGGCATTACTAAACCCTACCGGGTTTTCACTGACTCCTGAAGGCAGCCTCCTTCGCTGGCTAATGTGAGGTTCAGGCCTCCACTCTAATCAGTGGCGTGATAACCCAGTTTCTCTCCTGAACCCTCCATGGGCCGATAACAAGAAGTCCAGAGGTTCATGACCCTTCCCTCTCTACTCACTTCCCATTCTCCTCTGGAGTACTTTTTTGTCTGACCCCTCACCATCCACCTATTCAGTAAGGGAGGCCCTATCAGTAGCTAGGCTACCACTGACAGCTCTCAAGCTCATGGGAGTACTCAAGGGGGTACCCTTATTAACCTCTCTGGGAGAGAAGGGTCGCTTTGAGGCCAACTTCATGTCTTCTGTGGACTGCTCTTCTGGAGTACTTCTTCATCTGACCCCTGCCCATCAATCTGTCTGGCAAGGGAGGCCCCAACATTAGTTATGCTACTGGCGGCATGTCTCTCAGGGTCACTGGGGTACTCAAGCTCCCCCACCACCGTGGTCATGTACTCCTGGGGTGTTGTTGTTTTATTATTATTAATATTGTTATTGTTATGGTCGTTATTGTTGTTATTGTTATCGTCATTGTCTTGTCCTTATTGTCGTTTTCAATAATTTCATAATACAGTGAAACTACTTGTGTACCTTTGCATTTATATGCATTTATTCACAATGAAAGTCCAGTAATAGTAGTATAACTGAGGGGGGGGGGTTACTATTCTCTTAGCAATACAATAATTAAATAAAACCTGCAATTTATTTACTGTTGCAAATAAGTTTTGTATACCTTGGGAGCTACAATTTCTAGTTTATAAAAGTTGCCAACTGTGCTTCTTTTGAAACATTTTTTCCACACTGTTTATAGTGAAAATGTACTTTTGGACATTTGGACAGATGGTACTTTTCCCCTGTACGGCACATTCAGTATTTACTGTTCTTTGAGTAAAAAATAATGTTGGTCCAAGAGTAGAGCATGCCAATGTAAAGATACTGAGTTTATGTTTTGCTGACAAGTTCAATTTCTGTTCGGAGATTTTCTCACTTATACATTTTTTCACTTGAGTCCTCAAAATCATATAAGCGAAGTTTTGCTGTATATTGTACATTATCAAACAGCAGAATGTAAGTTTTCAATAAATGATACTTTTCATTTCAGGTAACTAAAGTAATTCTTCAAAAAGGATGGCGGTGTTTGGATTGTACTGTCTGTGAAGGGTGTGGTCAAAGACATGATGAAGCTAGGTTAATTTTGTGTGATGATTGTGATATTTCATATCACATTTATTGTATGGATCCTCCTCTTGATTATGTACCTCATGGAAACTGGAAATGTAAATGGTAAAGATCAATTGAAAGATAAAATCTGACCTAATAGTAGATAATTTTAAAACATTTTTTTATATTTCTTAAAACATATATTTCATTTATATTTCAGGTGTGCAATATGTGTTTCATGTGGGGCAAATGATCCAGGTTTTAATTGCACCTGGCAAAAGAGTTTCACAGAATGTGGCCCGTGTGCCTCTCATTCAACATGTCCATCATGTTTAGAGTTGTACACTGAAGGAGATTTACTGATTCAATGCATACAGTGTGAACGGTATGCATTATCATAAAATTAGTGTATCATTAAACTTAATGTGTTTTAAATTACATGGTTGTCTAATGGTTTTCTTTTCAGTTGGCTGCATTGTGCATGTGATCAAATTCACACTGAAGTTGATGCAGAACGTTGTTCAGAAGAGGGTTACAACTGTATACTTTGTCGTCCTCGAGATGTGCCCCCACCTCACCTAGTGCCTCTTCCAGCACCACCTAAGCCCCCTACGCCAACAAAGAGTCCAGGTAAGCCCTTTCTTTCTTGAATAATAATATTTAAAATCTATATTTTATTGAGGAGTACATTAATGAAAAACAATTTAATTCAGAATTCTGGAGAAAATTGGATAGGTTGTTTCCCTGCTTTATGGTTGCACTAGTCTCTATTTCCGTTTCTTATTCCTTAATGCTATGTATTTCCTTTCCCCAGCTCTTCAGCATAACGTTTCTTACTTGTTTACTTTTACTATGTTACCATTCTGAAACTCCACCAATGCACTATCCCTTTCCTTCTGTCTCTTTAGTTTGACATGTCCATGTGACAAAATGTTGATTATAACTGAACCAAATATATTGCCACATTGCCTAAGAATTGTGACTCTGCTAGTTAGTTTTTAGTAACAGGTGTGACAGTTTTTAAAAATCATCTCTTAATTGTTCACTCTCTTCTAATAAAAATTAAAAGCCTCGGCAAAAATATTATCTTGTATTCTTTTGCTGCACATTACTTCATTCTCTGTTTATACAGGCTCGTTTCAATTCTTTTGTATTCTTTGTGACTGAAATATTTTCAATACATCAGCTCTTTGGATCCAAATACATTCTGTCATTTCTGGTCTTGTGTATTGTGACACTGCTGATCAGTTTATAGAACAAACATGTCAATAGTTTAAATTTTTTGGCATTAAATTTACTTTCAATGTAATACCCAGAAAAAAGGAAAAAAAGAAGGGAAACGCATTCTTAAAACTTTCCACTTCAAAGCTTCCCAGCTATGACTGTCAACCTCATTGCATGATTCTTGGTGGGTATTGCATGGTAAGAAACAGATTGGGATGTAGAAGGGGTGAGACAGGCTCAATCTGAAAGTGAAAGATTCTGCAAATGCTACTTGAGATACACTTGATGTGTAAATAGAGGTGTAAACAGACATCAAATAGTGCTTGACATCAGGATTTCAAGGTTTAATTGCAAGTATTGTGGATTAAATTGTAATGCTACACTTTTTGAAGGGGGTAACAATGATGATTCATAACAAAGTAAAATGTTGCAGTCGAGTTCTCAAGTGTTGCGAACATGTTTGTCTTCCTTTCGTTTGAGCTAGAATTATATGAGAATAGTTACTCTACTGAGATTGTGCTCATTTAAGTTACATAGAAATTATAACAAAATGTGTATTTTTATAAATTTATTGCGAAATGACATTGATTGTAGGGAACTATTGTCGAAAATTTCATGGAAGGTGCCGCTTAGAGGTCTGAGAAAATCTAATGATTCATTTTTTATACTTACTGCTAAAACTAATGTTTTTATCAGTGTTCTCTTTGGAGAATGTGTCGTTTGGCAAATGTATTAAATCTGGATTATAATGAGTCCTCTGTGCATCAGCTTGTGAGCCATCTGAAATTGAGTATCTGTGATTAAAATTGAGATGTCGTGTAAAGTCAAATCTTTGATGTTATGATAATTTTTTATTGATAAATATTGGATTATTTGTAACTTGTATCTATAAAAGTTATTTAAGAATTTATAATATTGTATTGGGTGTTTGCTTGTAGTGAACTAAATAAAAAAATATGAGTGTGTGGCAATTACCATACTGTGATATAAGACAAGATGTTTTTCTGAAATATCTCATTTTAAAAATAGAGAGTCATCTTATATTTGCTGAATAAGCCTAGATGGTTAGGATTTATGTTTCTACATTGCCTTTCTATGTCATGAATTATTACACATGAATTATTATTATTTTACCTCTTATTATAACTTTCTTCAAATAAAATAAAATTTCTTATATTTTTGAATTTAACTACTTTAGCTTAATTCTAAAAAAATATTTTAAAAAATATTCTATGATTCAGCAAGGAGTGGGGGAGGGTGTGACGTATATGTCATACTTCTCCTTTAGGGTGATAATTGTGCTGGGTTGAAAGAGAGAAAATATTTAAAGACGAGAGAGCATTTATTTTCAAAACATATGGTTAAATGACTAATCAATGACTACAATATCATTAGTAAACATATTACACTTCTTTGTTTAGTTCTTTGAAAAAAGTCTGATTTCAAACAGCAAAAAATTGATGTTGATTTTTTGTATGAAATGGTACATTGCATTTCAAGCATAAACCTATGTCACATTTTGTGCACATTGAAGCAACAACACTTGCATCCATTATAAGTATACCTTCTTTTCTTTTTATTTTCTACTTCTCCAAGTAGATGGCCAGCTCTGTCATAGCGAATGTCGTCTAAAACTTGCGTTGACCTGTTTGACGATAGAGCTGTTGGACCCACAGATTTGACAGAAGTTTTGTATATTGTGAGGTATGTTATAGTGATGTCTCTTCTGAATTCCAGTTTAGTGCTCTTCTTTCCAGTCTTCTTCAAAATCAGCCAAACATTATTTATTATGGCATCTATAATCCATGTCAATATTGCCTAGTACCATTTCTTCCCTTTGATTGATAAACAGTACTGATTAATGTCTCGATCCATTCGATCTGTACCACCCATGTTTCTGTTGTATGCGGTAATAATAGCGGGTTGAACGACGTTTATATTTTTTTTCTTTGAAGAATGTTCTGTTAACATGCTTGATTGGAGATTCTGCGATCAAATTTGATACAACAGCAATCACATTATGGTCCATCCATTTCCCAACAAGAATTCCATCATTTTTTTCTATTGTGCTTTGAAATATTCCATGTTCCATGCGATGGTAATAGGCAATCTTCATGAATCCTATTTTTCCTAATAGTTCCAGTCCCCGAGTTCTTTCAAATGCTTGAGAAAGTTGAAGCTGGTGAATAAGTTGTCTGTAATTATATGATAGGGATAACTTCTGTTATGATCTAGCAGTTCATCTAAAAATGAAATCAAACTTTACCAAAAATCCTTTCATATTCAGGGTTTGTCACTGGTGTATTTTTCCCTTGATAGACTTCAAAATTTATCAAGTACCCGTAGAATGTATTCAGGCACCATATTTTGTACCCAAGCCTTATGGGTTTACCACAAATGAACTGCAAGGATGTGGGCCTAAGTATTTCACCATGGATTCATCGTAATCAAGAAATCCACATTCAAGAAAGTTATCAATAAAACGTTTCTTGAGCAGATTTGTGGGTGGGTGGAGCTTGAATAATCTGTCATTATTATCAATATCAGAATTATCAGCAACACAAAAGTATTTGGCAATGAATAAAAATCTGTCCCTCCACTTACATTCAGATACTAATATATTCTTCATCTTGGTATCCCAGTAACTTTTTTCTCTGGCAAAACATTATAACCAGAAAGAATCAGTATACCCAGAAAAGCCTTTATCTCTTCTCCTGTAACATTCATACTTTTTCATTTTTTGTCGAAGCATATTTCTTGGACTCCATGAGGACAAAGGAAATCACCTCTTCATCTATAAAGATTTCAAAAATTTCAATGGGTGTTATATTTTTATATTTGTCGGCATTGTCTTCTGGAAATCCCATCTTTTTTTATTGAATCAACTAGATCTCCATCTATCCGCTGTTCCTTGTTCGCTGTGACGTGTACGTCACACTTGTCCTCGGAGGGTTAAATACAAAATTTTCTCAAAATAGACTCCAAATTTTTTCTTCAAACATTTGTACAGATGGTTCTGAATGCACTCCATAAGTTAACATTAATGTCATTGTGCCGTATACTTTTCTTTTTTTTTAAAAAAAAAGTCACATAAATATATTTTTTTTACAATGTTTCTCAGGTCATTAATATTTACAGTACACGCTTGCTTTTTTTGCATATATAACCAGGTATTGCTCTTTTGTAGTATTCTTGATGTCATATTTCAGTCCTACCATTAGGTGACCGAAAAGTAGAGGAAATGTAAACACACATTTTTAGGTGCCAACAGATGGCATCTGGGAAGTGGAAGAGGCAAAACCAAAAAGCTATTCCAATCTAAAGAGAATAGGAAACTAACTAGTACGAGGGTACATGTGCCATTGGTAGTTTATAAATTATAACAGTTTTGAAAATAATTAAATTTGTTCAAAGAATTGGTCGCCAGGTCCGAGATTCGAACCTGGGCCTTCTCATTTATGCCCAGCTGCTAAGACTTCTAAGCTACCGAGGCAACTAATTTGTGTGATAACTTTGATTGTGCATAACAAAAGCATGCCAGAACTGAAAGTTTTTAAGTTGTTTGTCTACAGAGGCACTCCCAGAAGGGTTGTACACATTCCAACATATGTAGCTTCATGACGAGAGTGAGAGAACACTGTACACACTAGTTCATTTACACTAGCCTTTGCTGTCATCTTGCTACAAAACAAAGTCTTACATCAGTCTGAAACTAGTGGTGCTACAGAATGACAGACTTTCTTGTAGTAAAATTTTCTGATTTACTTAGTGTGGGCTAGTTTTATGTTCTTGTTCCATCCTCTTATCAGCTGCTATCTAATAGCCACACTAAATACATTTTTTTGAAATTTTCTCAATTCTTCATGACCCTAATGGTAGATTTGAAGTATTACTTTTAAGATATTAAAGGAGTGTAAAACCTCAATCTACATAAAAACTGTTGTTGAAAAATTCACATCTGTTTTTATGAAAAAATCGTTAAATCTGAAGTATAAATGCAAAGTTTGAAGATCTTTTTCTTGAGAATCTTGTGCGGTTTTGACACAACAGCTTTATTTGCAATCATTTGAAGAATATTTCCTTGCAAATGCAATACTGAATACAAAGTGCTGGAAGTGTGCATATTAATAGCCTGCGAGATATTTCAAAAAGATTACATTTGTGTATTTTTTTTGGGGGGGGGGATAAAACTTGTTCAATATCAGTTTAAACAGTGCAATAAGAACTATGCTTTCGAAAAGTTTGAAGAAAAAATTTGGAGCCATTTTTGAGATCGTGGCGTTTGAGCATTTCTGAAAAACAAATTTTGAACTTGTTTTCACATAAAACTATTGACTTACAAGGAACTTTTTTTGACATTGCCTCTAACGTAAATTTTAATACAAGAGGCTAGTAAAGAAAATAAAATGTTTGTATTAAAAAAAACAACGAAAAGAGCAAAATGGCGTTTATGGCATTTCTTAGAGCACCTTCAGTACTATCTCTAGTTTTGGAAAAAATTGTTTTTGTTATTTTTTAAAGTTGCACATATTGCATGCAATACTGCGCAAAAACCACCAAAAGTTTCCAAAAATATGTACATGACGTTAATGAAAGAACTAATAATGGACAACAAATTTCATTTGAAGGAAAAATCATGATCTTGTATATTATGGTGGTAGGATGCTGCCAAAAAAAATAAAATAAAATAAAATCTTGCAATTTTCGAGAATTTAGGGTTCAGAGTGAAAAACAGACCTATGCCACCTTTATAAGTGTATTTTACTATATTCTTTCAAAACATTTAAAGAAATTTGGAGCCAATTGTGAGAAAATTTTGAAAATGTCCCAGGGGCTTCATGCAAAGTATCCTCAAATTTTAAAGATAATAAAATATTAAGGCTTCCTCTTGAGTCAGATTGAAATAGGTTATTTCAATTTTGATAAAATCCTTGAAATGGTTAAGGCGCTACTGTGTTCACGAACGGACAGACAGACATGTGAATCGATGTTTCGGTATCAAGGACTCACAAAACATGGATTCTGGCAACTCCACATAAGAGGATTTTTGCTACATTTTTACATTTGTATTAATCCAATTTTTCATAGCCCGGGCCCCGTAATATGGGTTTTTCTGCCGAAAATCGCCGTTTTTTCACGCAGTATTACATAACTTTCTCAATACTATGTACATTACTCTGCTTGCAGGGGCAGATCCAGCTGATTATTTTGGAGGGGGCCATCGCAGATTTTTGCTAAATAATAACCATATATGTTATATTGTATATTATTTATATACTGTAGAAATACTATACAATATTATTGTTTAAATAATTACATAATTTAAACATAAATATTTAAATCAATTTTGCTAAATAATGGAAGGAAAATGAAAACTCGTGGCCTTTTTGAGGGGGAGGAAAAGCCCCCATGGCCTCCCTCCCCTTCCTGGATCTGCCAGTTCGTATGGGAGAAAGTAACTAGAGGTGTTAGAGAATGGCATGGACTTTCTCGTATTTGTTTTCTATATTCTTTTTTTGGCTAGCTATTTGATTGGTTCATACTCTTGCATGGTACCATCTGCAAAAATATTGCTGCCCAAATATTTTAAAATTTTTGAATTTTTTTTATCCTTCCGTTTTCTAATTTCAGAACTGAAATTAGGCAGAATTATTCAGAACTGATTGGCAATATTTCTTTAAGAAGAACCTGGAGCTGAGAACAACTTGGTTTAAAGTTTGGTCTAAAGTGGCAATTTTCATTGACAAATTTGGAGTCGTATTTTAGAAAATGGCGTTTCAGTGTTTTGTAAATGCGAAATTTGAAGCTCGTTTTCACAGAAATTTTTTGAGTTTTCAGAAAACTTCAATTGAAGTCATTTAAAGCACTTTGCGAATTTCTGGAAATGTGCCTATTATTGACATGACTTTCTTATGTACATAAGTATATACGGAGTAATATGCGTAGTTTAGGAAAAGTTATGTAATGCTGCGCAAAAAAATTCTGAAAATAATATTTCCGTTCTGCAATTAGGAAATGGAAAAATGGAGAAAATTTTTTAAAAAATGTGGGTGGCGATAGATGGCATCTGGCAAGAGTATTTGGCAATTCAGAATAGGTAGACTAGACCAAAGGAAAAGGAAAACTAATAAGGAAAAGTCTGTTCCATTCTGTAGCACCACTAGTTTACAAGAAAGTAAAATTGGTCATTTGTCACAATTGTATATTGGAACATAGAAAAGCAATAAAAACTGGTGGTGTTACAGAATGGCACGGTCTTCCTCGTATTGGTTTTCTATTTCCTTTGGTGTCGGCTAGCTACTCAGACTTGCCATATACTCTTACCAGGTGCCATCTATTGCCGCCCAAAGTAAATTTTTTGGACATTTTCTTAATTTTTCTGTTTCCTTATTGTAGAGCGAGAGTTTGTCAACAATTTTTTAAAAGGTGAGAAAGAAAAAAGCGTAAGAAGTAATTTCCTACCATGGCTCTTTTGTTCAATCTAAATGGCTTTCAGGCCCATCAGAAGAATTAATATTGATAATTTCTTGTAATGGACCATCTATAGTTTGCCTCAGAAAACTCATCTTCCTCCCCATCATCCTCTCTATTTTCGTGGGTTTAACATTATCGGTTTGATCAAGATGATGAACTTCGTGCTCATGATGGTGTCATGGTACTTATTTTTCATGACTCCCTGTTCTCTGAGGAGAAAAAAACGTTCAAACCGATTTTCAAACTGTATGCGTTCGGATACACTTACCGTCCTTTTCTCTAACGGCATGCAATATAAATATTCCTCGTGGCTAAGTCATGTCACAACAAGAACTTGAAGATGTGTTTTCTCAGTTGCTGGCCCCTTTTCATATCATGAGGGACTTAAATGCCTACAATTGTGCCTGGGGTAGCACAAGGACCTGCTCAAGAAGCACTATATTTGAAAATATTTTGGATAACCAGAACATAATTATTCTGAATACTGGTAAAACCACACATTTTTCCATGGCTTAAAACTGTTTCTCGTCCGTCTAACTGGCTGCGGGATGGCAATTGAGGCCGCATGAAGAATGGCATCAGTAAAATGGGCAACCGATATCATTTAGGCAGGTTTCCAATATCCTTCTTTCTCAAATTTTTCCCACTCAGCTCAGTAGATTACCCAATCTCTCTCTACCATCTTCAGACTGAAGTGGACTGACCTTGGTGACCTGCATGGCAGTGACCACTTCTCCATTCTGATCAATTTGGATATTCCCGACTCAAATGTTGCTCGTCCTCCTCCCTGACTAATCTACTGAGCTGAGTGGGAAACATTCGAGAACAAAATACGGATATCGGAAACCTGCCCAAATGATATCGGTTGCCCATTTTATTGATGCCGTTCTTCATGCAGTCTCAATTGCCATCCCGAAGTTGTCGGGTCACCAACGACATGCTCCCATGCCATGGTGGAATTCCAACTGTACCACTGCGTTGTGTGATTGGAAACGGGCATTGGCAATAGGTTCATAACCATGAATTATTTATTTATCTATTTATTTATTTATTTGAATCTAAACAGGCAATTGCCTAATATTACAGGTTTATCAATATTTATAATTTGATACTAAAAATAACGATGATATGATGATGATGATGATACTAGCAACATGAGGTACTAGCGGCTGCCATTATCATTGCTGCTGGTTTACGTTATTATTAACTATTAATTTTATTATGTACCGCTAAAATACGCATTGAACATTGATGATATGTTAGTTATGTACCGATAACATGAATTGTGGGAATACGTTTGTCATTTTCATCATCTTCTTCCCCTCCTCCTTTTCTTCTTTTCTGCTTCTTCTCCTTTTCTTCTTCCTCTCCTTTTCTTCTTTTATTTTTCTTATTTCTTTTTCTTCTTTTTTCTTTTTCTTTCTTTCACAGATACTATTTTTGGAGGGCCATGAATGTATTTGATTGTTAAGTGCAGTTCTACGTTTGAGTTCAACTCAGAGATTTTTAAGTTAGGAGTGTTGCTGCAGGGTCAAATCATTTTGCATAGATATTCCTAGGTTGTGTATTTTAGTTGTTGTTCCAAAACATAAATAGTGTGTAATCTCAGTCAGAAAAGGTGGCCTCAATAAAATGAAGTTTATTATTTTTCGGCTTACCAATCTTCATGCCAGATATAGCCTTAGGGAAATGCAGATTCGCCAGTATATTGTTAAAATTCTCAAATAAATCAGGAACATTAGAATTAAATTTGATGCTATTAAAATAATGTTTGCAGAATGGCTTCTGCGTTCTTCAATCTCATTGATAATGGAATCTGACACAGCAGAAGAGTTGGCTTTATTGGTATTTACATTTTCCAACACAGAAACTCAAGCATAAAGATCATATATGGTTGCCTGTTGGTTCATTAGCTTACTCTTAATTTCTTGAAATTTGGTGCTAAAAATTCACAAATGTCCAGGGCAGTGAACAACTGGAAAGACCACTACCGGATAATTGAAACAGCTAGGATGGTGGCTTTGTAGGAAGGACAGTATGAAATTTGAGATCAAGCAGAGAGCAGAGAGATCCTTTTTGTGATAATAGCAAAATGTTTTTGGGTGGCGGGACACACACTCTGAAGCTGAGAAATTTCCAGTATTATCATTTGATGCACAGGCATTCATTCTTGCAATAAGTCTACAAGTTTAAATGGACACAGATGGTTGGTGATACTGCTCGTCACTTGTATTTTTCAAATTTTACCATTCTTTACCTTTTTCATTGTCATCCATAATGGAAATGATTTATGAAAGTAACCTGGAATAAAAAATTTAGGCTGCAAAATTTGAAAAAGTTTGAGAATTTGAAAATCTAGAAAGCTTTTGAACCCTTTCATTGTGTATTGTGGAACAAATTGTAAAATTTGATTATAAAGGAATAGTATTGTAGAATTCTTTGAGCTGCATGCTTAATTTTCTGCATAATGGAATTTCAAATGGATTTTCAAAAAACTTGTTTTCATTTAACATCAGTCAGGACGATGTAAGTTTTTAACCGTGGACCTCAGTAACATCTGAATTAACCTTTATTATCTTGTATGGGGAAAAAACAAAAAATGTGAAGTTTAGTCATTGTGATGTGTGGTAAAGATAAATGTTGAATGTTTCAGAACCAATTAAGACAACACCTCAGGATTTCTTCTTGGATGGTGTGTACCTTTCTGAGTCAGGACTGCGACAAATTAAGTCTTTAACAGGTGAGCAACCACTTGCTCGCAAAAAGAGAATGGCCAAGAAGATTCCTACAAAAGCTGACAAAGAAGCTGGAATTTTGGCTACAATAGAATCAGTTGTTGCAGGAGGTATTTTAGGTAAAAGATTTATAAAATTTGTCAAGAACTGTGTACTTAAAACATATTGTTACATTTATTTGTTATTGTTTGATGTACTGTAGATAATACAGCAGAAGTAGAAGGAATCAAAATGGAAATAGATGAGGTTAAAGAGATTAAAGAAGAGCCAATGGAATTCAAGGAAGGTATGATTGTAACTCCTAGAGAAGATGGTAAGCCACCTGAGCCTCCTGAGGGATTTACAATCTGCACCACAGAAAGTGGTGTAATGGTACTCCGAAGAAAAAGACAGCGCAATTTACAAAAATTAGGTATTGTAGTGAGTTTAATTTGTAGTGAGTGCAATATATTGTATGAATTATTGTCAACATTAATTTACAAAATGTTTGCAGGCATTGGAGGCTTTGTAGCTAGACTTAGAAATACCCGGTGTAAGGATAAAGAAGATGAAGAAACTCCTGGGGGAACTGCAACTACTCCTCCAGCAAATGGAGGAAATGAAGAAGATAAACCTGTTCGCCGGAAACCTCAAAGAAGAAAAGCACGTAGTAAACTAATGGAAAGTTACCCTTCTTACCTCCAGGTTTGTGTATATAGTAATTTATTGCAACTTATTTATCGTAATATATTTATTTATAACTTTTCTAAATAACAAATATATTTAATTTTGTATTTTAAAATGTAACTTATATTCATTGTGTCTTTTTAGTTTATTGAAATCTCGAAAAATTTCTTCATTGTAATATTACATTGCACATAATTTGTTAATTCATTTTAGGAAGCTTTCTTTGGCCGTGATTTACTTGACACTTCAAAAGAGAAAGGTGTTGGTAGTAGCAGTGGATCTGAAGATGATCAAGAGGCTACTCGTGTCAGTGAAGACAAAACTATACAGTTGTCACAGGTTGGTTTTGATTATTCATTTTTTGATTTGTGGAGCTGAGAAACATGTTATCAGAGTAAATTAATTGTGTTTTCTGTTTTAGGATGAATTAAAAGCAATAGAGGAGGTGAAAGCTAAACAGGATAAAGAAACTGATAAAACTGAAAAGAAATCTGATGATGTGGATGGTACTTCTACAAAATCACCTATAAAAGTGAGTGTCTTTTTTTATGTTTTTGTTCTTACATTTGTTTTTATAAAATATTTATTTAATAAAGATAATTTTTCTACTGCCATGATTATCAGCCTTTGATGTTAATTGCTTCTCTAACAATAGAAATTAAGACAAACCTACACACTTCATCTCTGGTTTTAATGAAACATCATAGAAGCTTTCTTTTTATGGAAATATATTTTGATGTCCTGACTCCCATGTTCAAAATGTAAAAAATTACAACCTTTTTTATACTTCGAATTCAAGGCTCCGTGATTATTAATGATGTATTTTCTATATATCTTAGAAAAGGTCTTTATTACTGCCAGAAATGTCACAGTCAGAATCCTCATGATGGATTACTTCAATTTCATACATTTTGTCCTTATCACAATATAGATAATTCAATTTATGCTTCTAATACTTCATTGAAGGTAACTTGTGTACATGTTTCTGGCTAAATTGGATCCTTCGTTGAACTACATGGCTAGATCAAATCTTATCAAAATTTGAAGAACATCAGAAAGATTACTAAGAATTAATATTTTCCAATGAAGGTGTAGTTTTATAAAAGTTTCAACAATATCAGAGATGAAGTAGGGTAGTAAACATGTTTGTAGGAATGCTGATGAGGTGTTGTTGATCCTGATATGCATCCTTTCATATTAAAGGATGAAATGATTGAAAACATTTTTGTCAACTAAGATTTATTCAGGGAGCTGGCTTTCGGCAGCTTTGCCTTCATCATAAGAGTGAGACTGATGTCGGCAAAGCTGTTGAAAGTCAGCTCTCTAAATAAATCTGAATTGACAAAGATAACTGAAGGTATTTCATCCTAAACATGTTTGTTGAATCCAGTTCATCTGTCATATTCTTAGATTGTAATATTATATATATTAGAATATAACTGGCAAAGTTTTTAAAAAATTGCTAGTTGAAAATTGGGGTTTGGGTAATATTCGAGTCAGTGTTGGTACTGTGAACATGAAGCATGTTGCATGTGGTCACATGGTGGCATAGGTTATTCCTAGGATTTTACGTGGCGTGTCAAAGCCTGTCTTCACGATGGAATATCTTACAGCATTTCACTTTTTTTGTTCATGCCGCTAACGTCTAATGATTGTGACTGCATCAAGTACCACTTGATAAGGTTGCAGGATGACCGAGAAAGTTGCTAAATATGTGACATAACGCCACTGTGAAGACTGGCCTTGAGGCGCAGCTTCATAAAAATCGCACCCTGTCCGGTGTTAATCAGTGGGCCGTTTGAGGACAGACATTTTTGCAATAAAGGTGAAAAAATGTGAATTTTTTTCAAGATTCCTTACTGAAAAATTAGGGTAGGGGTTATATTCAAGTATATACGGTATTTGTTTGTTCTTAAATTTGCATGTTAGTATGAAAGTAACGGGTGTTCATTTTATCGTTCGCCGAAGATTCGGACCGCATTGCCCAGGGAGGTGAGGGCTCTGTCGCTGGGCAAAGTGCTGATTCAACTCCCGTGCTGACATATGGCAAGTATCGCTGCGCTTAACTGTTACCGTAAAGAAAATGCTGAATGCAGTGTCCTTTGGTTCAAATGCATTCTTGACACTTACAGAACATATTCTGATTTACCTTTGAAAAAAGTCTCGAGGAATTGCTGCGATTTTCTTTTCAACAAAGCACTGAAGCTTTCTCCAATTGCAGGTTTTCTGCATTAACATATCTTTCAAGTGCCCCAAAGGAAAAAGTTGCAAGGGATCTGATCAGATGATCTACGAGGCAATATTTGTCGATGAATTATTTGATCGTCACTGTATTTAAAAAGTTATTGGATGGATCAGCAGGGTGAACAGTAGCTGAATCCTGTCAAAAATAACAATAGAGCCTTTCTTATGTTGTCAGTTCACAGAATAATGTCGATATCTGATTTATGTAAACAACAATAATGGTGGTGTTGAAAAGAGAAGATTCTTATTAATTCTTGTGGAACTCAATGCAGTGTAGCAACGCAGGTTGGTGAGGTGAGGGTTTTCTGCACTCCAATAGAGGTCTGTTGTATTCACTCAGATGAAACCATGCTTCATCAGAAAAGAGAATCAGAATATGTTCCGTAGGTGCCAAGAATGCATTTGAGCTGAAGGACACTGCTTTCAGCATATTCTTTAAGGTAAGATAAACGCAGCTGTAGTTTCTGTGTGTCAGGACTGGTTTTAAGTCACTGTTTTGCTGGGCTCTCACCTCTCTAGGCGATGTGACCCAAATTTTTGGCAAGCTATAAAATAAACACCCAGTATGAAGATATTTATGAAGGTGAATCAAATATAAACCAGAATGCATTTTTACATTTTCTTATATATATGTGTGTATATGAAGTAACAGTAAAGAGAAAGTTATGTAATACTTTGGAAAATCTATTTTGAGATTGAGAGAAACAGAAATACACGTTTTGGAGTCCCTTGATACCGGAAAAGTGTTTGTATATTTGTATTCTTTCCAAAATGTCTGCCCATCTGTTATTAACACTAACAACTAAACTATCCATAGGATTTTTTCTAAACTCAATAACACTCAGTCTCTTTCGTCTAACTTGAAGCCCTGCGAATTTGAAAAGAATTGATATTTCGGGTACTTTACATAAAGCCCTGTTCAAGATTTGTCAAATACTAATTCTCTTATCATGTCTGAGTGAGCTACACATCAATGTTTTCCATGAACGTACATATTTGTCAAAAAAATCTTAGACTGCTTTTATCACATCAGCAGTCTTTGTGGTTGTTGCCAACTGGAGAAGACAGTACGTATTCTTTCACTCTTCTGTTTTCAATGTATCAAACATAAAGATGATAATAACATTAAGATAAACATAAATGATAACATTGTTCAATGTGTGTACTCTTGTCCAGCTGTATTGCAGAAAATGTGATTGTTTTAATTCATCAACTACTTTATTTTTTATGTCTTCGCCAATATCAATGCAGTGTTTCACAGTATTGTCAGAAAGCGGTCTTTGTGATTATTTGTTTCTATTATCTGTTCCGAGAACAATTTCAGTTACCTTTAACAGGCATGATTTAACAAGCACCTCTCCAATAATATGACTTTCTTTTTTGCCTTGCAAAAAGGCTGATATGATGCTTCTAGCACTTTTTCAGATGGCAGCGTCCTTTGGTCTGTCCTTAACAAAAACCAGTCTCATTGACAAGACAACATTGTTCACGATGACTAGGTCTCATGGCATCATTGCTCAATACTTCATGGCAAATAACACACTGTAGATGTTTGATGACATCTTTAAGCTTGAATACACATGTATTAAATATAATCATCGTTATACTTGCGTTTCTTTGCTGAGCTTATGGTATTGGTAATGTTATTGGTATTCCATGTTACAAATTACACAATGAAACAAGGCAACCCTGACAATAAAATTCAAATCTTTCCAGTGCAGCAAGTCCTTTGGAATGTTTGGGTATGAAGAAACAAATATTAAGTTGACGAAGATAAATTCTTTTATATTTTCATGTAATTAAGTCAACAATACTGCAACAGTATTCCCACAATGTTTGGGTACATATGGCTTGATAGGTCCCATGCCTCCCTTGGCTTGTTTCTATGCCTCCCCTGGGGGAGGTGCCTCCCACTTTGGAAATCAATGGTCTAGAGTTAAAGAATGTGTTTCAGTGTAGTAAGTTCAGTAGTAAACAATTCCCATTAATGTTGAATTTCAGTGATTATGTGGGTCAAACATAATTATGAACAAGATTAGAATTTTGATTTAGAAATTGTTGTCTTTTCTGATGTGTACATTTTGAGTAATCCAGAGTACCCAATAGTCCAATTTAACTGCTATTTCCTAGAAACCTGCAAAAAGCAATGCTAATATTCTCAGTCATGCAGGTCATTGGGTCACATTAATAATCTGCATATTTTCCTGCTTAACTTTCAAAAAAATTCTTTATACTTAACATACAGTTCAGTCATTTATCGAAAAATTGCTGTTAGGTTTTAAAAAAATATGAACAAGTATTACACTCTTTGTTTCAGAATACTTGATAATTGTGAAAGGGATGAGTGTACTTGGACTGCTCTGACATTGTGATTCTAACCAGAAAAATTTTGTTTCCTACTGATGGAATCACATTTCGGAATACTAGCCAACCGTGTCACTTTCTTGTTTTTTGCTCTTGTTCTTATTGGTATAATAGTTCTTGTCCTTGTTGGTGGTGTTGTTCTTTTTCCTCGTTTCTACTCCCAACAAATTTTTATTGAAGTATTATGAAGTATGGTTATACATTTGGCCTTTTTTTTGCAAAGAAGAAATAAATATGGTCATCAGTCTCTGACTGTAAACAATATTGATTACTAACAATCAATTGCTTATTATCTGAAACTACAAATCAGTGTTTAGCTTCATTAACATTTTCCATCAAGAGCTCATTGACTGAATTTTTTTATATTGAAATAAAATTAATTTTTCTTTTTTCTTCTCATTTGTTTCTGTTAAGTATTAACATTTACCAAAATTCTTACAATTTTACCTATTCAAGAATGTTTTTTTAAAATAATTTAATTAGAATTTTTATTTCCTAAATTTGTTTTAATATTAAATTCTAAATTGTGTTGCGACATGTTATTGAAATTTTCTGTAGTGTATGTTCCATTAACAGTATTGTGATGCCTTTCAAATCCAAATTCATGTTTATATAAACTGTGAATTTTTTTTTATTTTTAAGGAAGAAGATGAGGGGAGTGACTCAGAAGTTCTAAAAGATATTCTACCAAGTGTTCTTATAGATACTGATTTAGTGAATACTATTATGAATGATGATGATGACGATATTACTAAGAGTGCAGAGAATTTGGGAGATATTGGAGGTACAGTAATTTTTCCTAATATTTCCGTTTTCATATATCTGTTCTATGCTTACTAGGCTTTGTGTGTATGGTCTGCTTTGCAATAGCTAAGTTTCATTTCATCCCTAACATACACTAGTAGTAGAAAAAATTGGGCTGTAGTTGGTAATTAAGTCTCAGATCGTCTTAATGAAGCATCAATAATAATCAAATTTTGTCAGTTTGACGTTATCTGATGTGTATTTTAAAGCTGAGTCCAATCTGGCAGATGATTCAGAGCTGAATGATTCCTTGTCCATGACCGAAGGTGGCGGTGATGTTTCTGGAGCAAGTCACAAAGATGAGCTCACTGACATTCTTAGCCCCCACTTTAACCTCGAATCAATGGTCAGAGACACAGGTGAGCTTAGAATTTGATTGCGTATTGTGTACACTTTTCCCTACCTTTTCTTCTACTTTTCTATTTTGATTGTTATACAATGCATGTGCTAATATGTTTTACTGTGTATGTTTTAGTATGCATGCCGTTAAATTAACAGCATTTTAAGACAAGTGTTTGCATCTTAGCTCTTTCCTTCTATAGTTTAGGTTTAAACAAGTTTTCAAATTGTTTAATGATAATAGTAAGACAAGTATTTGCTTGTTATTTTTGTAGGTCTACCTAACATGGACAGCAAGGATGTTGAGGAAATTTTTAAAGGTGTCCTCACAGATGAATCCCAAGAATCTCAAGAATCAATTTTTCCTCTTGGTCCTGTACCTACACCTTCTACAGCTCTTGGCTCAAATATTCCTCCTGGTTCCAGTGGCATGGTTTCACCTTCCCATGCATCACATCCAGGTGACAGATCGGTATTTTTTTGATATGTTCTTATTAACTAAATTTTCAATTAAAATGAAACCAATAATCTTCTCATTGCAGTTCTTCAGCCTGGAATGGGTTTGAACCGGCAGCAAGGAGGACTTCCACCTGTTGGACAAACAAGTTTACCATCCCCCATTGGGTTTCCACCCCAATCACCCTATGAGTATAGCAAGTAAGACTTTTTGTTTTACTGTGGTTACAGTATTTTTCAGTTAGATTCTTTGGAAATGATTGCTTTGAAAATTTTGATTCATTGAGAAATTTAATTTAGAGGTTTTATGTGCTTATTTTAGTCACTGTGATTTTATTTTAACTTCCTGAGGGAGGGGGGTCATGTATTTGTTATTGTAAGGTCTGTTCAGCGTTAGAATGATCCTCATATAAACAAATGCACATGCTTAATAGAGCCTCTTGTTTGCTTGGATTTGCAGGTGTATATGTAATGTTTTGCTTCTGAAAATAGTTTTTTATGAAATTGTAAATTTGCTTGTTTAAGTGCTTAAAATAATAAAAAATTTAAATAAATAAAAGCTGAAAAAACAAGAAAGGTTTTAGAAAAAGAAAAGCGATTGAAGAACGAGAAGATCCAGAAAACAGTTACTGGAAACTCTGAATAGGGCCACTATTCTGAAATACACAGAAGACAAAGGTGTAGAGTAATAGCAGCGAAGAAACCTTGTAACCATCTCCAGTGCTTTATTAGCAGTTGGCTCATAACAAAAGTTACAAATGTAGCGTTCATTGGACTTGGTGAGCAAAAGCAGTCAGTTCTCTTCGGTTAGTGAGGCAATATTGGTGTAGAATCTTTTTACAATTTTCATTTTTGTGCTTACCTATCATTTGTAATGGGCAGGACAGTCTTATATAAAACATAAGTGAGGTAAACCATTAATAAGGTTTGAAAAAAACTATAGTTTTAAGTGTGTTTTCTCGTTTGGCTGAAGAAAATCCTACCTTGACCCTTAAACAGATTGTTGAACACATGCCATATTCGAAGAGAGTGTCTTCATCGAGTGTAATGATTGCACACTGAGAGGTGAGTTCACACAGAAATCTTCTCACACCAGGGAAAGTAATGATTTGTGTTGAACCCTTTCCGGATGAGTCTGCAATGAGTAGGAGTGATGATAGTGAAAAGGGATGCATGTGTCTCTGCAAGAAATCAGAGCTTCATTCTTATCACAGATAGGATTGCTGTTGCCGCATTAACTTGACAGTTCATGTATTCATGTAATGTTAAGGAGGAGCCTGGAGCAATCGGCCAATGCGGTCAGTAGTTGTGGATGAAAACTATGCTTCTTTGTTTACATCAAGATCATTCTAAGGCTGAAAAAAATTAGTGACTTCTTCTGAGTAATGTAAGAAATATGAACAGTCACCGAAGATGCAAATCATCTAGTGAGACAAGATAATTACCTATATCAGTAATAGTTATATATATAATGAGTTTTTTTTTTAACCGTCACATTAATTAAAATTATTGTTCCTTATTCCATTGAGTTATGAGTTACCCACTTACTTGCATTGGTCAGATTAAATGTGATTTAGAAAAGCATATACAAGACCATAGAGAGAATATTTTATTTTTTTGGAGAATATTTTCTTTGTTGACATTCACTATGCGTAAAGCCAGTGGTGTAAGTTCCGTAGGAATTGAAAGGACCCCGAGGATCTGGGGGCTCCGTGCTAATCTCCAAATTCATAATGAAATCTTTTATCTAAAACTGTGACAAAATCATAGAAGAAATAAAGGAAACGCTGCTTTCTACCGTCTCCCACTCGCTTCATAAGAAGAGAAAGTTATATAAAGGTACATTGGAAAACAGCACATTTTCGGCAGAAAAACCCTTATTGACATGTTGATATTTGGATGAGTAGACTCAAACTTCAGAGGTTTTAATGAAAATCGGAACTGTACCGGACTTATAAATGCACTATCTCATATTCAAATAAAAATGTTGAAGAAAATTTTAGCCATTTTACTGAAAGATTTGAAAATATCAATATGATTTTGTGTAAAGTATACCCAAAAATTAAAATACTGTCATAATAATCTCCAGAACTGAACAACGAAATCTTAATCCTGACATATTTACCAACTTGCAATTCAAAAAGTTCTAAAGTGACAGTTTGTGTGATCCATCCATCTCTCCAAACAGCCATACAGGCTTCCTGATTTTTGGGTACAAAATTACGTTCATACCACAGAATAGGGAGAAAAGGAAACAAGTTTGCTGTGAACATTCAGAAGCATTTGGTATCAAATACTTAAATTAGTATAATTCATCCTACTGTTGTTTCATTGCTATTTTCAGGAACTTGATGATGGGGAAAAGTGTCTCTGAAATGTTGTGTTTTTTATTAATTTGATATTTTAGCAACATCAGTTTTTTGTGTGTTTTAAACTAAATTGTTTCTATTTAATTGGACATTTTATAAATAAACACATTAAGGATTTTATACCATTACTCTTCCAATTGTCAACTTGTTACTCCATTACTGTTGATAACTCAATGGAATCATGAACTTTCTTCCCTCGGTTACATCATTTACATTTCTTCTTGCATCAACCTTTGTGTTGAAAAAGAGACTTGCATTTCAATGACTTATAAATTCTATTAAGACATTTTTATCCATTTCTTTATTCTAATTATGTTGACAAATTGTATGTTCATTTTTACAGTAGTCCTCAGTTCAGCCCAGCTTTCTCTGAGCCAAATAGTCCTTGGCGAGCTCATGTGGATACTGAGGATGGAGGAATGGGCAATTACTCTCAGCGCCCTCCAGGTAGTAAAATGGAGGCTGATGAAGCTTTGGGGACAGGTGCCACAATTTCTGCTGTTCTTTATGCAAATGTGACTCATCCAGAGTGGAAAAAGGAATTTCCAGGTATTTTTAAGACAGAATGAGAGTGGAAACGGTTACTCAAATACACTTGCAAATAGTCAATGTTGGTAAATGTTGCTATTTCCACTTCTTTTGGCACATGTTTCTGTGATATGTTTTGTGTGGCCTAGAAAATAATCATACAAGTAGTTTCAAAATTCCCTTGAAGCATTAGAGGACCATATCCTGATATGAGAGGTAAACATATTTTCAGAAACATTACTTGCAAAATGAGTTAAGCTGTGAAATTTGTACCAAGGAAATGTACACTGGTGATATTGTGAAAGAAACAGAAGTTTTGAAAAATGTCTGTCATAGAACTTCCTGGAAATCATCCCTTACAGGAAAAACTGCTCAAAATACAATGTGTTTGAAAAAAAAGGGTGGACAATTAGGCAGTATTAATTATATTGAAAAACTGATCTACTTGTTGCATCCTCCCCTTTCCTGACTGGAGAAACAAACTTCTAGGGAATTTTGAATTGCCCTATCTGAAATAAGTTATTGCTTCTTGGCAGATTAGTTTTATATGTTATAAGTTTAGATATTGCTTTCTTCTAGTGTGGAGTGATAGATGCAAGCAGATTGCAAAGACATGGCGTGCTCTCCCTGCAGAGAAGAGAGCACCATTCTTACAACAAGCACGTGACAACAGGGCTAATTTCCGTATAAAGAAAACACAACAGGTTAGTTCAAAAATTTTAATTTTCTTTTATACAATTTCTTTTTCAGGAATAATTTGGTGCAGTTTTTTTTTTTTTTTTTTTTTTTTTTTTTTTCTTTTTCCCCTTCCAACAGAACTAATTTGGCTCTCTTTTATCATGTCTTGTAAGGTTACACCTCATATTGAACTCTTGTTTTTTTCTTAATTGTTCCTTAAAAAAATGTCCCCTTGTTTGTTCTGTACATTGTGAACTTCTGCTTTTTGTGTGGATGTCAGCCATTCAGTTAAAGTTGTTCGTGGTGAAATGGAGTTTTTTGCAGAAAATATTCATGAAGTTTCTGTCTTGAAGTTAAATTGCATGTTGGGATCTCATATGTGACCAAAGGCTGTGGGAGCAATGTTTTTCCAGGCATGATCAGACACTCCTTTTTTCTCTTTCATGTTTTGTGTTTGTTCTGTGATTTAAATTGTGTGTTATCTTATTGGGATTTACATTTAGTTTATTTCATGATTCACTTCAACATAAAGTAATTATAAAACAAATTTTGAATTAGAGGCTACCTAATTATATTTCACATTCTAGTGCCCTGCGTCATATTCTACTTGTTATTACAGACCTAACTTCTTTCAGTTACATGAAATTATCCTTTACATTTTGCAAGAACCAATTGTAGCCTGCTATATACCCTATAGTTGCACATTACCAACAAAATTGTACCGTACTGCCACGCATTTGGGAAGCTGGAGAAAACTAGTCGGAATACACTGAAGAAGCTTATAGATCCACTGCAGATACCCATACAAGTAGACACCTTGTTAATTAGTTCTCACAACAGTTATTAGAAGTGCCTATTTGAAGTGTTCCTTTCCAATTTCTATAAAATCAAGAATGATGACTTAACATAGTAATTTGTGCTGTTACAGCTATTTGTGCTATTAATGATACTTCATTCTTACTATTCAAGACAAGATTTTATTAAATCTGAATGGTTACTAACCACTGGCGAAAGTAATGACCTTTCAAACATTATGATTTGTATTATCAGCAAATAAGTGAAACTCACCAAGTCCATTTTTGATGTTTTTCTGTACATTGCCAGGACTCTTATTTTTATTCTTTTGATTTGTGAAATCATTGACGACCTAGAGTTTTGGAGTGCTGTGACAATTTTCTTTTTTAACCAAGTCACAGAAAAAAGAAAACGTGCAGGAATAATCTGTCTTTATTCCTTTCGTTTTTGTTTTTTAATACCAATATTTCATATTAATGTGTATTTAAAAATAAATTACACAGGTTTTATCTTGTATCGAGCCAAATATATTGAGTTGACAGATTTAACAGAATCTTTGACTTAATTCATCTCCGAACACAGTTTTTGTTCTGCGGGAGTTTTATTGTTAAAGCTATTTTTTTCATTTTTCCATTAGTGTTTTTAAATTAATATTTTTCATGTATTATTTACTAAGCATTTAATATTGAATTAAATGTACAAGCTTAATGGATAAATGTTGTTGGTCTTTTTCATGAATAAAATTTGCAAATGATGGTGTACCCGTCTTTTGAAAAGCAGAGTACTTCCATTAGAGTATGTTTCTGGATCCAGAGTTTATTTCTTATTTTGTACCTTGTGTATGGGATTCTATGGATATGGCAATCTTCTAATGAAGATTTAGATATAGCCTTATGAAATTTGAATTTGTAATATATTATAAATGATGATATCTGTAACGTGTAGGCATCATCATCTTTTCGAAGTCACACTGCCAGTAAAAGGAGTACAGTTTTATGCATCTGTTCAGAATTTGTATCAGTATAAAATCAAATTTTATAGTAGTATCAGTCATGAAATTTAATTGAGCAAGTTAATAAATGTGGTTATTTTGAAGCAGTTCAAACTATTGATTAATGAAACTACATATGCGGAGGCAGAAGTTATTTATTGCCAGTAAACCGTTAAAATTGATAATTGAAAATTGAAAAAAACAAAAAATATTTTAGTTCAAAGGGCAAAAGTATCTAAATTATTGAAATTTGTTTTTGTTTGGATATCATTTGATTTTTCAGTTATGTTAGTCACAAGCTGTGTTGCTCTCCTTTCCTATTTTCATTTACTATAAATAAAAAAGCAACATGTAAGATTATTTTTGTTCAGGTGTATAAGAAATCCTTTCCTAAATTGTAAAAATTGGTCAAAAATATATTCAGAGAAATAGTTCCTAAATAAACTGATGGTTAATTTAATTTTGAAGGTTGTATGTGCTTTACATTTATCACATGATAAAATAAACTATTATAATCCCCTAAAATTGAAGTTCATGTTGCGGACGGACAGACAGTTTTGTCTTCAGTCGATTTTTCAGTATCAAGGACCCACAAAATATGGATTCTGGCTACTCCACATGTTAGATGAATTTTTTTTCTATATTTAGCAACTGAATTTATCCACTTTTTCCTTAGCAGGGCCTGGCAATAAGAGTTTCAACGAAAGTTCGCAGTTTTCTGGTGCATAATTACAATCCTTTCTCTTCTTAAATTAGCAAGTGTGGAAAGTAAAAATGCTATAAATTTGGTATGTTCCAAATGCATTCTGTGCTTCTTTATATAGAATATAATTCTCAAAATTTTATGTAAACCTTAAGTTAGTCACTATGAAATAACCTTGTAGAAAACAACAATCTGATTGCTATTGGATTAGAAAATACTTTTTTTTAAATTTAATGGATTTCATTCTTTTCATTAGAATAAAAATTAGTTGTGTCATAATAAATTGACCCAATATATTGACCTTGAATAGCATCATCCTCTTATTGTTGATTGGAGAAAATTTGTAAATATTTCTGCTATAAAACAACTTCTTCCAGAATCAGATGTTCAGTATCCAGATATGAAGCAGTATTGAGCAATTAAAGAAATATAGTGTTTAACTCTAGAATGTTAGGCTTAGTGGCATACTAATACCCCCTAGAAAGCCCAGTGGATTCATTTTGACTCTGAGCCTTCAGTGAGGCTTCTTAAAATATTGCAAAATAATTATTTACGTTATTACATCATTATTAAAAATAAAATTTTTGTGTATAAGAGAAGTGTTACACCACAATTTAAATATCTTTTAAACATTTCTTGTCAAATGGACGTTAAAAAAACATCTTCAGTGAAATAAAGAGACAAAATAGTATGTTGAAAAATAAACTATTATCTACAAATAATATTTTTGTAACAGGAACAAAAAATAATAAAAACATTTAATTTTTAGTAATACCAATTTCACACGTCACAAAAATATATTTTCTTTGCAATGCACTTTCCATACTGCTTCACAGTACATCAAATTTATTTTATTATATTTATTATTAATTCACATAATGTTACAAATTTGTGTTGATTTCACACTGATAGGAACTTGATGAGTATTACAAGAAGAGACGTGAAAATAAATTTAATTCCATGTTATTAATGGCATTTTGTTTTTGTTGGGGATTTCATTGTAAATTTCATTCTACATTTTTGCCATTATTATGCGCATGGTATAAAATACATACAGTTGGAACATCTTGACGATTGCATGAAACTTTTGATGACTTGCACAGTTTTCAAGTACATTTTGCTGGATACTACCCAGTTGTGTTCTCTCGTTTTCACAATACTTTCCCACTATTTGCAATGCATGGAAAAACATTGGCACACACCTTTTGTGTGACCATTCCCCCACAAGTTACAATTGTTTACTGCTTTTATTCGGTTTTAATGCCATGAACAGTGCAAATACGAGTTTGCATTGTAAATGCTGGTGTAACAGCTTTGTTCCCTTGACTTATGATACCGCTGGTTTGTAAATTTATCTCTTCATTAAATAATAATAATAATAATAATAATAATAATAATAATAATAATAATAATAATAATAATAATAATAATAGAAATAAAAATAAAATCTTGAAATCAGAGAAATTAGCAGTTATTTTTTCTTAAACCTCCCTATTAATTTGAAAATCATAAAATATGCCGAATACTAAAAAAACAAGTGTGTATCTACCTGAAGCACTCCTGTACATGAAAATTCTCTTCCGAACTTGAATATATGTACATAGTTATATATATCTGAATGATTTGAAGAAATAACTGTGTTTCTGTCATGTAATAATAATTTGCTTTTACTGAAAACATAGTGATGTATTTGTTGCACCATGACGAAACAAATAATGATTCATGACTTTGATTGTATTGAACAACACCAGAAAACAATGCAAGCCTGAAGGAATACTCACATAATTCTTCAGAAGGAATCCAAAAATACTAGGAAACATATTAAACATTTTTCAGTGTTGATGATATACACGAAACAGGAGCTAGAAGATTGAGTCAGTATCCAAGGATTCAAACTGACGCTTCATAGGCATTTAGGTAAATTCAATTATTTTTCATGAAATATATTATTTACACAATTGAATTTTTAACATACGGTAACTACTTCAAAGGGATGAAGAGTCGTGGAGTCATAAAATTCTATCTTCAAAACAAAGAAGTTACAAGAACATTCAGAATGGCAGGAGTCAAAATGAAGCCTTGGGGCATTCTAGTGTTAAACCATAGGTTCCCAAGGTTTTTGGAAAACAATTACTTTGTGCCAAACTACATAGATATCCACATCTTAAATGTGGGCATAAAATATATATTTAGCGGGTCTTTATCTTCACTCGTAAGCCATGATTGGAAACTCCACCTGATGTTTTGGCAGTTTGGCAACGTGTGAAAAATCTTTGCCATCCCTTTTACTTTAGCGACTCTTGGCCCGGTGCCCTCAGATTTCAGACTGAGAGAATGTGGCTAATTTTAGTTGGAAGAAGGAGAAGTCATTTACTCTGTCCTTGATACTCTTCAATGTACTACAGTCACTACACTGAAAATATTTTGCACTACACTGAAAATATTTTGCCTGTCTCTTGGCCAATGATGGCCACTTTGAGAATATTTTCAGAGGTCAATATTTTATTGTTGTATGTTTAAGGAAATAATATTTTATTATTTTCAATAATTAGAAATTGAATAATTATTTATATTTCATTAATATTTTTAAGAATTGTATTAAGATTTTCTTGTTTGTTTAATGTGCAAATTCAATAATAATGTTATATTATTATAAATAACAAAGAGCTTGGCTGTAATGTTTCGGAAGATATCTTTCTGATTTCTCTCTGAGCTGGCTTTTTGAAAAGAATGATTGTTATGTTGCTGTTAGTAATTCGATAAATCAGTCATAACTTCCTTCCATATCATTATTACGGTTTTTGTTTCTTAAGCATACTGGACAGAATCGCATAAAGTTACTTGTGTGCCTCTCCCCATCCTGCCCCATCGACCCTGCGCAGTGCAACAAGAGTCTGGTATGTGAGCCGCATACCTGCTTGCCTAAACTCGTGAATGAGAATCACACACAAACAGGAAAGTTGCTGCAGCTTATGATCTGACACTCGCCTCCCTCTCTGCTGTCTATACATGCCAGCCACAGTTGTTTTGAAAAGAGTCAAAGGAATGCAATTTCCAAATTGTCAAAACAAGAACAAGTGCTCCCAGGTATGGGTTGCGAGATAAGATAATGACCCGGGATTTTTTTATCTATTTATTTTTTCTCCTTCTTTCTTTCTTTCACCCCCTAATTAATAAGAGCTGAAAAGTATTCTTTCACTTCTTTGTCTTAATTTATTTATTGAAGTCATTGTTGTGTTTGAAATGTATGGAAAATAATTTTAAGATTAACTTATAAAAATTTCATTTTCAAAGACTAGACTTAACAAGCTTAAATGACATCTGGACACTTTTAGCACTACATGAGAGAGCTTTCTGTGGTTCTGGTTGATAGTAAGAATTTGATATAGTGTTGTAAGCACACCGGCTCTCTCATAACTGAAAGTTTTTCTGCCCAAGAAATTTTCCTCAGAAATTTTAAACATCATTTACAGTCTTTCGATTTCATTTGAGTCCAGAACGCTTGAACACAGTCACTCACACTCTTGACCTTGCTTCAAACTCAATTCACTTTGTCAAGAATGTGGTCATGTTTGTCTTCCATTAGCAGTGTCTGCCCTATTGAGTCAGTGCCTGCTGCTTGCATGGAAACAGGTGCCATTCTGTTGTTAGTCTCAAAATACAATCTCTCGAAGTATATTCACCAAAGTGAGACCCCCAAAGATTAAGCATTAACACTGAGCTCTGAAGTGAACACATAGTATCTGCTTTCTAACTCATGGTAATGAAATCCCTACAATTTGTGTTGGGAGTGAAAATTATGCCATAGAACAACATCCATTAAATTGTCAATAATCCTGTCTTTAATTTCTTTAAAACCCCTTCTGTTACTCTTTTAAAACTGCTCACTGGAGTAACAGAATACTTGAGACAGATGCTTCATATGTAAACACTGTTTGCAAATTTCTTCACTATGAATGATAGAATGTGTTTTGGAAAATAGAAGTATTACTGACTAGTACTATTAATTATGAATACATTTTTATTGCTTATGAAAATGTAATTTCTAATTCAACTTTTATATTGGGAAAAGTTTCCATAAAAGAAAATTGGTTAATACGATGTTGCCAGCAAGCCATCTGTAAAACAATGAAGTTAAATTAGGCAAATGCAAAAGAATGAAGTTATTATTAAAAATATTTCTGAGAATGAAAAGCATACACTTCAAAATTTCGTCTTCAAGTCCAGGTTGACATAGCCAGGAGAGAGAACAATAGGTTTTTTTCTCAGATTATATACATGTAATATTTACTTAGTATAGTCATCATTCTTGTTGTGCATCTTTGGGCATTTCCTTATTCAGTGCACTACTCTTATCTACTATGTGTGTGTATGTGGCTCGCCCCTGTACCAGCAGATCCCCAAGGAAATCACCACCAAGTCCCCAGTCGCCTCCAACAGCACCACATCACCGTCCGCTGCCCCAGCTGTTGGCACCCCTGTGCAACCAGTGGCTAAGAAGACAGTGCCAGTCACTGCTGCCACTTCCACATCATCTCAGAAGACTCCTGCTGGAACCTCAAGTAGCAGTGGAGGTGTTTCACCTTCCAACGTTGAGGTGTGTGGTGGGGGGCCTCAGCCACCGGTGAAGGCCCAACAACAGCAACAACAACAACTTCAACTAACAACCCCTTCCAATTCTTCCTCCTCTTCTGGTGGCTTAGTGCAGCTTCAGCAACCTTCACCTGACACTTCACCAAACAGAAATCAGCCACATATAATTCAGCACCAGCCTGGTACCGCCCTTCACCACATGGTGCAGCAGCAATTTACAGCACACCATTCAGTGCAGTTTCATCCTGGAAAAACTTCACCATGCACATCGTCTCCATCAGTACCTCCCAGTCCATCACCTTTAATATCATCAGGACCATCTTCTGCCTCGCCATCACCCAATGTGGTTGTGGGTCGAGATACCAACAATTCCTTACCGCCTGAAATTCCACGAAGTCCCTCTACTAACCAACACAGTCAGACTAATCAACCCATAATTGTTCCTTTAGGACGGCCTGTTACCCACAGTATACCCTCTCAGACTCCACCAATTCTCCTTAGTTCTGGAGTGACCAGTACAGTCACAGATCAGCAGATCCGTGTGCTGACACCATCTGAAATTATGCGCACCCTCCCATCCCTAGGCCAGGAAAGTTACGACTTACCTGCATCCACGCCGTCCACGGTGAGCTTTTTTCATGATCGGACATTAAATGTTTCTGCATTTTCCTTATTGGTGTCCAATTGTTTGTATTCATATTTTTTACCTCTTGTGAGTCATGTTTTATTTGTTTGAAAGAACTAGTAGTTCTGTTTCTCTCTGTTAACATGTAAGCATTTCATATTTTTAATTTCCAAGTTTTGTAGTATATTTGTTCATGAAAGTAATGTTTTGAAGAAAAATGTTTGAAGATACTTTTGCATGAATAATGCTATTTACATTTTTGAAGCCTCAAGATCCAGAGTTAATTTTATTACCACAACCTTTTGTCTTCCAAAACTTAAAGGAGCTTATCAGACTATATTGTTTCTAAATTTTTATAATGAAATTACTATTTTGATTTTTTATTGTCAACAATAGGAAGCGTTATTTTGGAAAATAATATTAAATTACTTTATTCATATCCTGTCACTTCCATGAAATTCTGTGCTTCCCTTGTATCTTCACCTTTCTCCCATTCTTTATTTTCTTAATGATATATGCTGTCTTGGTGGTAGTGTGATGGCTGTATTGATGTTGGTTTGGTTTGGTGTTGGCTTTTAAATTCCCCTTGTTGTGTATTGGTTGTTTAACATTGTAATCTAATAATATTTTTATTTCTCCTAGATGAAGACTTCATTTTGATATTTGATGGCTTCCTGTAGTCCATATGTGATGCTTTTTATTTCCCTTATATGATTGGACAGAAAATAATTTACTTTTTTATGCTTACAAAATGTGTTTGGTGCTGTCTATGTTCTGATCTGGGTGTTGTATGGTGGTGTTCTTGTACATTGTACTTATCATATAAATTATGCAATTTGCAGACTAGAGTGAGGTTGTTGTTGTTTTTGTTTTTTAACAGCTTGTAAGAAAATCAGTCCTCAGGGAATGCTCAGTATGTTGATAATTGTTTTGAAATAACATTACGTTTCTTTAGAATTTGAATTTTTTCACAATGCCACAGAAGCTTTTGATATAATAATTTCATTTTTTGTAATGCTGTTATACATTGTACAGTTTACTCACACAATGCATTTTGGCATGGTAATAGTTTCTTCTTTATGCTTTTTTCTTTGTAATGTATTGCGTTGAGTATTGTGGTATGTGACTAATTAGGTTTTTAAGAATACTTAGTCTCGGGGGATATGTCGTCGTTAACAATTGTAGTTTTAATTTGATATAAGAAGTATTTGATTGATGCTGCACCTTACCTAAATGTGAATGTAAATTTCTCTTATTCACTACAATGTACATAAAAGCAAATATTTGAAAACATAGTTTCAGAAACTTTTACATTTTTATTGAATGAGTTGCACGTTCATGTGATCATAGTTTGATTCAGTGGAAAGGTTGAATTTTCCTGTGGCATTGAGCCATAAAAATATAGGAATTGTATCTCACAGTGGTTTTGTTTTGATGCAGGGAGTACAGCATAGAAAGATTATTTATATATAAATGTCAAGAATAATTTAATGTTTAATTAAATATTATATCCTAGTAAAATATTTTAAACAGGATCAGGACAAAATTCTGCAACAACAGAAATCATGTCGAGAAGCTGAACAGGAACGCCAGTGGAAGCAATTACAAGCTCTACGACAGCAGCAAGCCCAGCAACATCAGGCAGTCCTCCAGGAACAACGGGTGCAAGGTAGGCAAATCTGTTTCATGAAAATGATGATATATATTCACACAGTTCAATCAGCCCTAGAGAACTATTATTATGAATTCTTTGGGGAAGCTTAATATGTAATTTGAATTGGTAGGAATCATTGACAATGGATCATCCCCTCTTGCAAAAGGAGAATTGGCTGCATGTATGTATAAATTTTTCAATAACAAAACCCTGAATTATATTCATTGCCATTATTCTGTGTTTCATTATTTGTGGTCCTTTATCACTTAGTGCTTTGAATTGCAAATTTATTTATACTTGTAAACATTGAATTTCTAAAAGTATGTGTATTTCAGCAATACAACGGGTTCAACGACAGATGAGTATTGATGGTAGTCCTTTTCAAGTCCAAGATCAATCAGCACCTCCGTTGACTTCTCAGTTGCAAGTGTCAACATCTCAGGTACTGTTTTATAAATTAATTTGATTTGTAATTGATCTTTAATTCATTTTTATCTTAGTAGTAGATGTTGACAAGGATGCTCTCTCTATCCGTGCCCATAAACATATGTATAGTTCATAATACACAACAATGGGCCACAATAAATGGCAGCCCATGGTGCCATTCTAAAGAAGAACAAGAACACCATTCCTACCCATGAGTACTGATTATAATGTTGTAAAGTGTTATTAAAATTTAACTTAACACATTGTGGACTGGCACCACAGAACACTGTCCTACACAATTCCTGGATATTGTCTTGGAGAGTTGCAAACAACGATCTTTGCCTGTTCAAAAACATTAACAATTTTCTGAATATATTGACCAAAGTGAAAGTAGGAGGTCGTGATAGATTCCAAAAGTACTAGTATCACTTAGAAAAGAGTTTTAATTTATCAAAACTGCAATAGTTGCCTTCCTAGTGAGAGCACACAAAGACGAGTATCTCGTCCTTGCCCACCCCATTTGAGCATGCGGTGTGAGAATTCTTATCTACGGTCTGCAGATGTTAATATGTTAAATTATTAAATGAATACAAGTGTTTTGTGAACTAATTTTGTTGTGTAATGTTGCTTTCAAAATGCATTTTTTATCATTATTCTCTTTTGTTATTATTTTATTATTTTTAATATTTTCTTTTCTAGGAACCCAACTTGATGACTGCCATGGTTTCACCTCAGTCTGGGCCAAGACCACAATTCCCTATGCCACCTTCTAAAATACGAAGTATTGTTCCACCACAGAGCCCAGGAAATGTACCATTCAGCCATCCAAATCTTCCTCCACCCTCATTGCCTCCACCTCATGGAGCACGACAGGAAATTTCTGGACCAATTCGACCAAATACACTTGCCATCCAGAGAGGTGGACCACCGCCCGTAATGCGACAGAGTGTGGCTGTATCAGAATCTTTTATCAACAGATTTTCTGGGCAAACACAGTCACCTTTCTCACCTCAACAACCTCAGTCCCCTCACGATCAGTTTTCCCCTTCAGCTGCTGTGTCCGGTACTACATCTCAAACTGGTCCTCAAAGTGATCTGTTTCAACGACCTACGGATACTTCTCCTTCTGATCCCTATGCTCAAGCTCCACAAACTCCTCGACCTACCTTCCCTCCCCTTTCAAGAAGTACAAGCTTCATTCCAGGTGCTCGACTGCCTCATGTTCCTTTATCAGAAGCATTTGTTCCTCCTGGTACTCCTAGACCACAGTTCTCTGGTGCAACACCTCGTCCTACTTCACAGATTGTGTTTTCCACTCCTCGTATGCAGGATCCTTATGCCCAACAGCCTGCAACACCAAGGCCACCTTCACAAATGGATTTGTATGCCCAGCCTCCTTCCACACCACGTCCAGCGCCTGCAGTGGATCCCTATGCAGTCCAGCCTCAGACTCCTCGACCTCAGGTATTGTCAAGATGTGGAGGAAATATCATATTGAATCATTGTATGGAGATTTATTAAATGAACAATTTGATCACCAAATGATAGTTAATCAGAAACCTTATAACTCTACTTTTTATCAAAATTTTCTAAAATTGTGACATAATATAGTGCTTTGTATAGCAATTTATAAATCATATTGAACATTTCACTAACTATGGATTATAACTTTTAACTGGATATACAAGTTATCAATATTATTCATTAATTAACTAACTAAATGGTGTGCCAATTATGCTGCATAATGTTTAAACTATATTTATTTTTTAATAATATAAAAACCGGAAATGCTCTCTTATATTAATATTAATTTCAAAAGTTGAATTTTATTGTAATTTTACAATAAAAATTAAGTAGTTTATGTCTTTACTCAACTCTTGTCAGTCACATTTGCAATTATTTTAGCACTAATTTCTGCCAAATCACATTGGGGAGGTGTGGTAGAGGAGTATCATGTAGAAATTATTTGCATTAATTCCTCAAACTTGGCTAACATGTGACGGTGCTTTGTTGGCGGCGTCTTCTTTTTCTCCTCCTTCTCCTTCTTCTTCATCATTTTCTTCTTCGGCGTCGGCGTCATTGTATTCTTTCTGACCGGGTTTAGGTAGTTTGATCTGTTCTGGCAGCCATTTTTGTTCTCTGTTTACCAATGTCCGTTCTTCCGTTTGTTCTGAAGTTCATAGCTATGAATGGAAATCGGTTCATTGGCATTCCTGATACATGTTCATACCAATTATGTTTTATTTTTGAGAATGTTTCGTATAATTATTTAACATTTAAAACATCTCTAATTTCAGAATTACATTTCTGGTCAAGTATGTGTGTTTCCCAGAAATTTCATTTCTGTTATTTGTATTTCCTTTTTGTTCTTGGTCACCCATGTTTTACTAGAATATGTGAATGTGGGGACTGCAATTGTTGTGTAAAACTTAAGCAATGTCTCCTTTCCCGTATCAGATTCGCAGATACTTCTGTATTGTTTCACAAATATTTTGGTATTACACTAGTTCTAATATTTCCCATAGGAGTATTTGACAAACATTGTCAGAAGCCTTTTCAAGATCTACAAATGCAAGATGTGTTTCTTTGTTATGTTCTCTTCATTCTTCTATCAATCCTGTAAGGTAAATATTGCATCTGTACATGAAGAACCTTTTCTGAATCCTGTCTGCTCTTCTGAGAGGTGCTTCTGCTTTTGTCTTCAGAATTCTAACGTATACTACTTTGTACGTAGTGTGTAGGACACTCATTCCTCAATATTTCTGAGTGTTTGTTTAATCACCTTCTTTGTACTGGGTTACCGCTTTCATTTGTATCTATTCTTGAGGAGTGTCAAGCTGCCTCCAGTATACATGAAAACAGCTTTAAAAGATGTTCATGCAGTGCTTGTCCTCCAGTCTTCAGTTATTCGCTGTTGATTCTGTTTGGTCCAGGTGCTTTTTGATTTTTTAATCCTTTTTAAGTGATAGTCAGTGCTTTCTTTGTGATCGTAAACTTCTGAATATTGTTGTTTGCGAGTTTTCTTTATTATCGTACCACAGAGATTGATAGTATTCTGCCCACCTATCTATTTCTATACTTTTGACATTAACACCCTCTTTTATAGATATATTTAGGGACTTCATGACTTTGTAAGCTAGAGATTGCCTTCCATGTACATAATGTTCAATACTTGCAATAAATCTGTCCCAAGGTGCATTGTGGGCTTTCTTATTGCATTTTTCTTCTTCTTGATTTCTTGTGATGTGGCTAATTAACTGTGTTGAGTTGCTTAGATATTTTTTATAACATTTTTTTAAAATTTATTTATTCTGAGTAATTCTTCTATTTTTGTCGACCAGAGTCGACTTCTATTTTTTAATCTTATTTTACTTATTTTCTTTATCATCCCCAGAGCTTCCTTAGCAGTCTTCATCACAAACATTTGCAAATTAGCCCACATTTCTTTCATATTGTTCCTTGAAGGACAAATGTAAGTGTTCCTGCAGTCTACATTGCTACAATTCTCATGTGCTTTGATCTTCTAGACTGTGCCCTTTGTTAACTTTCTTGGCATACTCATATGGAGAGTTTTTCTGTACTTAATGCCATCTTGAATACATCTTAATGGGAAATACTACTAGATAACGATCTGAGTAGATGCAACCTCTTAACACACTTCTAGCCATTACTTGTTTTGATTTTTTCTGGTTAACAATTACATCATCTATTAAGGATCTGGAATTTCCATTGGCCTAAGTAAACTTGTAAAAATGGTGTTTGTTACTTTTAAGTTTAAGAACTGGGAATTCTCAAAGTTTCATTCCGTTTAATTAGATCGCTGGTGAGGTAGATACCTTCTATTATTATGATAAATAAAAGATGTTGTCTGGTATCAATAATTTTATGAGGCTTATGATCGTTTCAATCGCGTAGCGATCATCCTCAGAGCTAAAATTCGGAATAATTATATTATTACGTCAATTATAAACTATTAGGTATCAGTTAATACAAATATTATTTACAGGATGTAGGCATTGCATGCAAGATACGACAAGATCTAATCTAATCTAAGCAAACTGGGTCATACATACCTTGCAGTTCTCGGGCCGAAAACAAAGTTCTGCGGGTTTTTGAGTGTGTGTCTTGTTTAAGAACACAGCCGGTCGGCAGCGGTTGGTGGCGGGAAGAGGGGTTGGGTGCAGGTAAAGGGTCGTAAGACGCAGGGATGCTGGTGAAGGCTAGAGAAGCGGTCGGGCGAGCGAAGGGCGGTGGTTTAGGGGTGTACACTATGTGCTAATTTTAGCAGAGTTGAAGAGAGTACAGGGATTTGTTGGTTAAGACACGTCATGTTCTGTTTTTTGAGGATGTTGTGTATATGTAGCGATTCTAATTTTATTCTGTTCCAGTACCAGTTATCAATTTCTAGAATTTGGAAATTTGTGTGTTTATCAAACGTGTGTTTGTTTAAATTTAGGTGATCCGCAAAGTGTGAGACTTGATAGTGTTGTTTTCCATGCTTGTTCGTGTTCTTTGATTCTCTGTGTGAATTTACTAACTCAATAAATTCTGTCTCATAACTTCTTTCAACAACACTCATACATTATATAATACACTATCCAACTCTAAGGACCCTATCCCACCTACCTCCTTATACGGGGTCTATGCTCTCACTTGCAACAACTGCAATGCCATATACATAGGACAAACAGGCCGTAAATACACACAGAATATCAAAGAACACGAACAAGCATGGAAAAACAACACTTACCACAGTCTCACACTTTGCGGATCACCTAAATTTAGACAAACACACATTCTTATTTATTGTATCTTCTCCGAATGTTCCTATAGATCCATGGACTGTTTTAGTTCCCACTCTAGCATTCATGCGAGTACTTTGCATTCTTGATTGTATATGTCTAGCGTATGCTGGGGAGTGTTGAGTAAAAACGGTCAGTTTCCTCTTTTCATTCTTTCAACGTATATTGAATTTACTGCTACACTACTGTAGAACATTGTATATTTCCCTACATATTTTGAGCCTTTAAATGTTTTCTCTATTTCAGTCTATATGGCAATGTTAATCTTTTGCTCTTTTAATAATCTAGTTGGCAAATCATCTTTGTTTTTCTTTCCCTACATATTCCAAGTTGCTATTCATAAAGCATCAGGGATACATTTATTCTTGTCTATTTTATTTGCTTGGTTTGTCATTGTATTGTAATTGTTTCCAAGACTTCTTGGGGTGGTACAAGTATATGTAGGTTTTACATTGATTGGGTACTAATCTGACGCACAACCCCCGACCTGGAAGAACAGAGGTTTTTGTTCAGGGTGGTCTCTCCCTTAGGCTGACTGCTTCCATCACAGCTCAAAGAGTTCAGCCTGCCCCTTTTCCTCTCTTTAGAGGAGTTTTAGTGCTGAAGGTGCATCCAGCCTACTTCTGTCCGCTCCCTCCAGATTGGAGACCGTTGGTGGACATTAGGGACCACTTAGCCCAGGGGAGAAAAAACAACAAAAAATACAAAACATAAATTTGTTCCCATTGTTAATTGAATTATTGTCAAGCAGTAGAGGGAGGACTGATAATGCTTTTCTTCTCTTACCATCTCTTCTATATTCAGTATTGAGAGATGGGAAAGATACATAAGTTCTTCATATTATAATAGAACATTCAAAACGTATTATATTTGAAATTTGTTTTTTTGATGAAGTAGTTTTTTTGATGAATAGGCATTGCTCCATTGAAATTGGATTGGCAGTAATGAAAAATTTGTTGTTGAATTTATAAATTTTTATAAATGAAATTACAGAATACTTATTTATATAAAATAACAACTAGTGAGAACATTAAATGCGGAATTCAAATTTCATCACTTATGTTTCAGGATCCATATGCCCAACAACCTCCAACGCCTCGTCCCCGTCCTGAAGGAGAGATATTTCCTTCACAGCAGCAACCTGCACCTCCTCCATTGCAACAGCAACAACCACAGCAATCTCAACCACCTCAGCAGCAGCAACCACAGCAACCATCCTCTCAACTGCCTCAGCAACCTCAGACTCAGCAACAACTTAGGGATCTTCTTCAAGGACAACAACTGCGGAAAATGGAACAAGAGAGGATATGGGGAGCTGGGACTCATTCTGGTATGATATCATGTTATTGGTTTCTACTTTCTAATATACTGTACTAGAGAGAAAGACAGAAAACCTTATTTTGTCAGTCCATGATCCCAAAAAAGTGAATTTACC